AAGTAGAGACACTACATACTGATATACACCTGAACATCAGCAGGAGAGGACTCTTTAAAGTAGAGACACTACATACTGATATACACCTGAACATCAGCAGGAGAGGACTCTTTAAAGAAGAGACAGACTGATATACACCTGAACATCAGCAGGAGAGGACTCTTTAAAGTAGAGACACTACATACTGATATACACCTGAACATCAGCAGGAGAGGACTCTTTAAAGTAGAGACACTACATACTGATATACACCTGAACATCAGCAGGAGAGGACTCTTTAAAGTAGAGACACTACATACTGATATACACCTGAACATCAGCAGGAGAGGACTCTTTAAAGTAGAGACACTACATACTGATATACACCTGAACATCAGCAGGAGAGGACTCTTTAAAGTAGAGACACTACATACTGATATACACCTGAACATCAGCAGGAGAGGACTCTTTAAAGTAGAGACACTACATACTGATATACACCTGAACATCAGCAGGAGAGGACTCTTTAAAGTAGAGACACTACATACTGATATACACCTGAACATCAGCAGGAGAGGACTCTTTAAAGTAGAGACACTATATACTGGTATACACCTGAAAATGAGCTTATTAGAGCCCCTTTAACAATTAATAGTGATGTTCTTAAACTCTTTAAATGTATATAACTCTGACCGGCCATTCTGTCGCATAACGAGGACTTTTCAGTACAGTTTTTCAGCTTTACCATTAATACATCTGGATTCCTTTTCCACCGAAGCTTAACACAAACAACCACAAGTATAATATAATAAGCATATTGAATTAAAGCTGATCAAATTAGTAAACAAGACACACAAATGAAGCAAACTTGCAGTACACTATATTGATGATTTGAGGCATTTACTCACCTGACCTAGTCACACACACACACACACACACACACACACACACACACACACACACACACACACACACACACACACACACACACACACACACACACACCACACACACACACACACACACACACACACACACACACACACACACACACACACACACACACACACACACACACACACACACACACACACACACACACACACACACACACACACACACACACACGGAAAACAATGTACTCTGACGCGCAGCTGGCCTTGAGCCATAGAAGACTTTTTATTTGGAGAAAGAAATCTTTGAAATCACTCATTTTTAAAATTCAATTAATTCATTGAGTACGACATCTAAGTTCTCAGAAAAAGTTAAAATCATGCCTTTTAGTCTTTTTATACATAAAAGATGTGGTTTTACGATAAGTGATTTTTTTTTTTTTATAAAATGACAGTTTCTTCTTCTTCTTCTTCTTCTTCTGACATATTTAACCTCTGTTAAAGAAATATTAATGTAGAAAAACAATTATCAACCTCCCTCCCAATAAAACAGAAAAAAGGCATAACACCGTACGTTACAATGCGCTGACATGGCTTCAAAGCACACATATTACAGTACTGTTCAAGGGTCCGCCTCAGACGAGATGCACCGAAACCTCTGAAACAGGTCAACACTGCTTATTCACCAAACAGACCACAGCATGGACACTGGCAAATGAGGTAAATATTTCCTAAAAAAGCACCAAAGGTTTGGCGTAAAATGTTACATATAGCTTATAGCCAACAGAGAGTTGGAGGAGTTTCAGTCCAGCTTCTTTTAATTATATATAGAGTGGTGCAGGAATGAGTCCTAATACCCGGAAATAAGTCAGCATTTTATGGTTCTGGCTCCCTCGTCTTGAACATTTTTTATGACCGTTTTTTGGTGGTGAGATGCCTGAAATAAGGTCTGTGGTTGACACTAGTTTACGAGATTTTCCTGTTTGTTCTAGCAAGTTCTCCTAGTGGCCAAACGGTGGTACTACACTATCTGTGTCAGTCCGTGACGTCATTGGGCCCAAAAATACTTTGTCCCATTGACTTACATTGGAAAACAGATGTCTGTAGATCAGCGGATATTATATTTTTAAGTTAAACTACTAAGAACGTATACTTTAATAGCCCTCATTTAAATGTTACCTCGTCCGGTTTAGTTTTTAACGTTTTTGTGGTAAGAGGCCTGAAATAAGGTCTGTGATTAACGCTAGCCAAGTAGATTTTAACGTTCAGTTATGACATAAAATCTCTCACTAAATAGCGCACTGGTGATTGTTAAGGCCCCAGGAAGTGCGCCGCACGTCGAAGCAAATTCCCATAGTGGCCAAACAGCGGTACTTCAACTCCGTGATTTAATTGGGCCCAAAACGTTTTTCCCCATTGACTAACATTGGGAAAGAAACGTCCATTAATCAGCTGATTTTTTTTAACTAAATCAACTACCCAGCACAAACACTTGTATAGCCCTTATTTAAATAATTAGGGTTTAAAGTTGTAAAATGTGCTAAATGAGACGACTAAACGTAATCGAGTTGAACATTAGCCGCCTTTAGCTTAGCGGTGGTGACATGAAGTCATGTGTAGTTCCTTTATAGCCTACAGTTAGCTTTTTTTACGTAAAAATCAAAAGAAGTGTTAAAATGTGTTGAGATTATCCTGCTGAACAAAACATGTAAGTATCATAAACGTGGGTTTGCCACAGAGCTTGAATTCATCAATATGCCGAAATCCAATGGAAAAATCCCATTGTTTTTGTCGAAGGAGCCAGGGAGATGCTATCGTCGTAATACGTCATCACTGCACCACTCTATTATCACCCGCATTGCTGGCGAAACAAATTAACTTGCAGCATTCAGACGCCAATGAACACATGCTGAAAGGCCTGCTCCACGTAAATAAGCAAATGTTTTTTTAAACCACATTTAAAATGGGACATTACATGTCAATATTTATAGTGAAGTCCAGACACAAAGAATTTGAATCAAAGCCTTTGCTGGATTCACTCTTTTTAAAATGAAAATGAAAGTGATATTGTAGTCAAATGATCTCATCACTCGCAAAGCTCACGATGGGGAGGTCCACGTAAGAAATCATTTTAATTAGAAGGCTCTTACAAAGCTTAAGTAAACTACTGAATATCATATAATGCTCCGACTGACAAACATGAAGGGAAATTAGCAAAAAGCAGGGACACTTAAGGTCTTGTTAAGATCAAGCTGTAAAGAAAAGGGAAAAAACAATCTTAAGCCAAATACTTGGGGGGACGACAACATCTAGGTCTAAGTCATATGATGTGCAAACTTAATTGTGCATAGAGATCAAATTGTAATAAATATTAAAGTGATAATTAACATTATCACAAGTTTGACTTTGTCTAAACTTTGTAGGGGTGATTGTACATTTTCATGATTAATTTAGTTTTACTAAAACTTTTAAAAAGGTTGTTTTTTTTTATAGCGCTGCGAGAAAAGCTTTTATAGGTTTTTTTAAGCAACAAACACTTCCCATTCATTATTATTATTATTAACCAGAGCCCAAGAAGACAAACACAACCAAACACTTAATAAAAATCCTGATAAAAATCATTGATTTGTCATAGTCACTTCCTCTGAATGGCTCGTTCACTTTAAACATGTTTTTTATCTTTTTTTGCCCTATTTCTGCCTCAAAGAATCACATGAGCAACAAAGAACAAACTGAGCGTCATAGCGATGTGTACAGGAACTTTACATAGAAGTACTTTAGTACGTCTTTTGAAAAAGTAAACGGATCTGTCGTAGCTTTTCGTTTTCACTGTTTCTTCGTCTGATGTAGCTTAAAAGATGTGAAGCACAATGCCTGTCTTTGGACCACCGAGGTAATTGTAGGTGTGTGTGTGTGTGTGTGTGTAAAACATGCTGAAATGTTTCCCAAACATTTCAAAAGAGATAATAGTGTCCCGTCCTGTTTTTTTTTTCGAGGTATATGATCCTGGGCCGACCAGTGGCGCCTGTGGAAAATGTTACAAAGCTGTCTGATGGATGATGGTGAAATTCATTCACACTGCTGTGCATCACGCCTGCTCTTCCTCCTTCTCCTCTTCCTCCCTGCTGTAGTCTCCCTCTGACTACTCTCCATTGAATCATTCATCACCTCCTTTGTCACCCTGCGTTGAATAGCTCCGGGCTTCATTCACTTTCAATTCAGTTAATTCAGGAATTTCTTTCTCTAATGTATAAAAAAAAAAGGGAACATTTTAAATTAATAAGGCTTTTAAGGTGTTTTTCTATTTGTGTAATGTCTGTGTTTTAGCCACAAACAGACAATAAGTCACTCATTCAACCACAGACGGGTGTGAGCGAGACACAAACCTGTTTTTGTTTCATACTTTTAACTCCTGGAGGAGTGAAACCGTTGTAAAAACATTTTCAAATTCTAGCAAATGCAGGTCTTTGCTTATATTTTCCAGCGTAACCTATAACAACCATATTTATAAGTTCCCTTTTAAACAATTCTTCTAGTTTAACTAAATATATAACCATTTCAAATGTAATATTTAAAAAAGGCGTGTGTGTGTGAGGATTGTAAAAAGTACCAGAAGGAAGCCTCGTCTTTCGGTTTACATGTATGATAATACTGGCTAACAAAAGTAGCAAAAACTAGTGTTAAAAAATATACGACACCTTTTCTAAAAGAAAATCTCTTAAATATAAAAGAGAAATTATGATTTCTTGTGCAAAAAATGTCTTGAATTAAGTTTTTGGGTTGTTTTCCTCAGCCTCTCCTGAGATGTCGGGATAAACAAAGTGCTTCATAACATCAACTCAGTTATATAATCTACGTTTGATTTGATGTAGGGCTGTGCAATTAATCGTATTTTAATCGCAATTACGATTTTGGCCTGCCACAATTACGAAAACAACATAATCGAAAAAAACGATTATTTTGCTTTGCTAGGTTGTGACCGTGCAACATATTTGATCTAATTAATTTGTATTTATCATATTTATATATGTTTAGTAGCTTGTTGAAGTGCGCTCCAAAATATTTGTTGATCTTGTTTATTGGTATTTATTATTTTGATATTATTTATGTATCATTTATTTTAGTATTGGTTTTTTAGTTGAATTATACGTTCAGGGTAATCAACAGATAAAAAGATACTGTTCAAATTATTATTTGTATTTAAAAGTTCAATAAATGGATGTTTTCAAAGTCAATGAATAATCGTATTTAATAATCGTGATATCAATTATTGACCCAAATAATTGTGATTATGATTTTTGCCATAATCGCACAGCCCTAATTTGATGCACTTTACACTGAACTTTACTCCTGAATTAAATGAATTGAGGGTGAATAAATCCCTGCACCCCCCTCCCTAATAACCCTTCCTTACCCTAACTTGCTTCTCTTTGTAAACCCATCCCTCCCATCCCTTACCTCCAAACCCTCTCTGTATTCCTAACCTTTGGTGACTCTCTGGTGTCTTTGAAACAGGGTTCCTACACATTTAAAAAAACATTTTGGCTGGATTTTGGATGGCTGTTCATCAAGGTGTGTGATTGTTAGCGGTGTCGCTCTTTAGCGTATGATAACAGCAACAAATGTCACAACACGAGGGAAGGACTACAAACAACTATTAAAAGACGGGTTCCTGGGGAAGGAACAACATTTATTTTTTTTACAAATGTTTCCAGGATTATGTGCAATTCACCTCAGACATTTTCATTACTTTCCAGCCGTGTGTAAGAACCCTGTTTGAAAGTGTCGTTAAGTTTAAAAGACGGGAACCTGTAAGTGCTTTTCCGACCAGAACTAGGACCCTAAAAATGGTCGGTTTGAGGAATGGGCTCCCTATCTCCCCCTTATTCTCCCCCTATAGTCTATCTGGCAGCTCAGTTTGATTGTGAACCCGTTAAAATGTTGAATACCCCAAAGGTTTATGATAGAAATGTATAGTAAGGGTCCCCAGCACTAAGAAACTATCGGATGCTAACTTGCATTTGTTAGGCGATTTTGCACAATTAGCATATTAAGTAGTGTTAATTAGCAGATGCAGACAATATTAAAAAAAGGGTTAGGGTTAAAGTCTCCATCTATGTACACTCGGTGAACTGATTTTAAGAAGTTTGGGGATTACAGGACTCAAAACTGTCATTTTTTTTACCTAAAAATGTCAGTAGAGATTCAACATCCTCAATATACCACACCAAAATTGTCCAAATCAGCCAATCCATTTTTTAGCTATTGTCTGCGTATGCTAATCAACGCAACTTATGCCAATCATGCCACCATGGCCTTTGACCCCTAACCCATCACAGTTAATTTTTACTTTATTATGCACCCCTTTTGTTTGTTTGTTTGTAAAGCGGCCTTGGGTCCCTTGAAAGGCGCTATAGAAATGTAATCAATTATTATGAATAATCGTGCAAATCGCCCAACATATGAACCTTAGCAACCAGCAGTTTCTACGTCCTGGGGACCCCGTACTAAACATTTCTCATATCAAACTTTCGGGAACTCCTCCACATCTCCGTGTTCCCACTAGCTGCCCACTAGACCTTTAGGTAGATGAGGCTCCGTGGCTGGGCATGTTGGCCATGTTTCCCACCATCCCAGCGGCCGTAGCCATACCTGAGGACCCCCCCAGCGGCGGGGGGCTGTGCTTGGGGGGCGAGGTCATGTCGGCCCCTCTCCCCTGGGGGGGGTGTGGGTGGGCGTGCTGCAGGGCGTGGCGCTCCAGCAGCGTGCGGTGGGTGAAGGCCCGCTGGCACACGTTGCACTGGAAGGTGCGCTCGGCTCGGTGCGTGCGCATGTGCACGTTCAGCGAGCTCTTCTGGGTGAAGCGTTTTCCACACATGGAGCACTGGAAGGCCCGCACGCCTGTGTGCACCACCATGTGTTTCAGGAGGTAGTCGCGCAGAGAGAAGGAGCGCCAGCAGATGGAGCACTGGTGAGGTTTCTGACCTGCAGGACACACACACACATACACACAGAAGAAGTGCCGTCAGAACTTTTGGAATTGATTTGAAGGTTCTGGTTATTACATATAGAGCCCTGCGTGGAAATGCACCGGAATATATATGTGACCTTCTCCATCCTTACATCGCCAGTAGGTCACTTAGGTCTTCAGACCAGGAACTACTGGCTGTCCCACGGTCTCGTTTAAAAACTAAAGGTGACCGTGCCTTTCAGGTGGAGCTCCAACACGGTGGAACTCTCTTCCTATAGACAGTCTCTGTAGAAGCTTTTAAAAAAACTACTGAAGACCCATCTGTTCACATTGGCTTTTGTCTTTACTTGAGATGTGTGTGTTCTGTTCTTATGTTTGTTCCTTTCAGGACTCCACGTGGTCTGTCTTTTGTTTTTATGTTAACCTTAAATGTCTGCCTCATGTGGTTATTGTATTCATGTTTCTGTGGTCTTCATTGTAACTTTTGTTCTTACTTGTGAATTCTATTTCTGTGAAAGGTGCTATACTAAATAAACGTATTATTATAACTTCAGATTAGTTTCTGTTTGAACTCTATAGAAGGGGTAAATGTAATCCCGGTTAAATCATTAAAAAAATATATTTTAATAAAGTTTCTATTCTGATTTAATCACTAAACTGGCCCACTGTTTCTCACACACGACCTTTTATCTGTTGCCTGTCACAGTGCCACTGGATCACAGATTCTTACCGGATTATGTCTTGATCAATTTGATACATTTGATACATAATCGTCTCAACATTAGCCATTTACCATAGCCATATTGCTAAGATAAAGAGCGAAGTAGAACCCTTTTAATAAATCCTATATCTACACATTTCACACAAGTAGTCAATGTTTCAGCTACATGAAAGCACATCGCTTTGAGACCATCAAATGTCTTTAGATCGAGGGTCTCCAACACGTCGGCAGCTTTTGAGTAGCTCGCCGCTCGCGGTTCTCAGACTGTGTAGAAAAAATCCGACGACAATAAATGCACCTGAATCAGTCCGTGTCGCTGCGGCTTTGACACACATGGATTTATGTTTTATAAATACTCGCGTTAGCACCATGTCAGGTTTTTGGTGGATTTAAGCAAGTCTTGGATTGCAGAGTATGAACGTCCTCTTGCTATGTTCAGTTGATAAATACTTGTGTAAAGTTTGTGAAGGCAGGAGGAAAGCTTCCGCGATCACCGTCTCCTCTCCGTTCCTCCAAACCCCGCCCTGAAAATAATGAGTGACAGGCTGATAGTGACCCGATAGAAACTTTATTATTCACTTAATCACTGATTGAGATATGAAGCTAACTTAATCTCATACATTCATGGGATTTATGTAACAGTAAGACAGAGAAGGTAAGTGTGCACCCACATGCACTATTTTTGTTTTTATAATGCTGTTGTAAATACTCCTGTTGTCTGCTGTGTTCAGACTTAAGTCCTGTGTGTGATGATGTGTGTGGGTGATTCAAGACATTCAGTGTCTTTTCTTTAGCTGAAGACCGTTGCTAGAAGCTGCAGCTAGACTGCAGAAGCATTGTTTTTGAGGATGGAACAATTTCACACACAGATATAGGGAGGCTAGACCTATACTATTGATTTATTATGGTTTATAATTTCATGTCAAGACGAAGAAGAAGAAGAAAAAGATGGCTGAACTGTTCAGTGTCAATCCTGTGGAGATGGAGGTGGAGGTTATACATCTTCAAAATAATGTTCAGCTTAAGTCTCAGCAAAACTCACAACATTTCTGGAGCCTTGTAGACCCAGAAAACTATAAGAACATTCACCAAGCAGCACTGAAAATGTCTGCTTTATTTGGCTCTACATACCTTCCTGACATGAATGTCATGAAATCTAAATACAGAACAAGACCGACTGATGACCATTTACATGACTCTATTTGAGTGAACCTAAGTGGGTCCACTTAAGTGGAACCTAAGTGGGTCCACTTAGGTTCCACTTAAGTGGACCCACTTAGGAGTCCAGCAGTCCTCTGGTGGACTCCATGCAGTGCCAGTCTCTCACTAACTGTACAAAAGAGTGAATGCACTTATTTTACACATGTGCCATAAGATGCTTGTGGTGATGAAGGCGATGTATTCTCTATGTGGGCCATAATAAGAAGTGAAAACATTGTCTTTTTCTCTTGGACATGTATGTGAATGTTCAGCTACTATGAGGGCCATAATAATATGTGAGAAATTGTCGTTTTCTTGGACCTTGATGTGAAGTAAAGATTTTTGATAAGCTTTGGGTATTGCAATTTCACACGTGTACAAAAGTAGCTTAATTCAACTGATGAGGGCTATGTGAATAAATGTAAGCGATGTGATGCAAGTAGCTCTTGGCCACTTTCATTTTTTCAAAGTAGCTCTCAGATGAAGAAAGGTTGGAGACCCCTGCTTTAGATAATTCAAAGTACATTTGTTAGCATTGGAGTTACTAGAAAAAAAGATCAGATGTTATAAGAAGTGTTTCACAGGTTTAGGGTTGGTTCTTTCTATACAGTATATGCTGTGAAGCTCGACTTTCAGAGGATCCTCCATGTTATCAATAATGAATGCCACTGTATGGTGCAATATATATATCTGTACAGCATCCAGAGATCTTTGCCTCTGCCTCTTCAGAAGCTCAAGGTTTATCGTCTAGAGAGGAAGTACGAATTCAAGCTGCAGGATTTTCTTTCTTCAACAAGCTGGCAGACGCACAGCCTTGATAAATGCTTTTATAATGAACTTGTTCACGTATTCAAACATCCAGCATTCACAGAGCTTTGTCAATATACATTTAAAATCCACCTGATGAATGTACTCTTATATTAACTCTCCTTTTAGCCTATTTTTGGTCATTTGAGAAAAATATTGCGCTTACGTAGCTAAATGTTCCACTTTCCTCAGCAGAAAACTGTGTCTATGCCGTTTGCATTAGGTCTGTGCATATGTAACAATGTCACGATACAATATGTATGATGATACATGGGTTAAGATTTAATATATCCCAATATATCGTACCACTGTTGGCAGGGCAATATTTTGCGATTTTAGAAAATGTAAGAAACATGACCCAGTATAACGAACACACCCTTATATGCATCAAATTGAGGTAAAAATCACTTTTTTGTGCAAAGAGAACAGTGGATCCTCATTTGCATTTATCACATTCCCTGTTAACATTAAAGCATATTTTATAGCATATTTTGTATGCAATGAAAGGGGGAGAGACGAGGCAGACAAAAACTGGTATGTAAAAATAACGTCCGTTAGTTATTTGGAAGTATTTGCGTTTCAATAAAGATTAAGTTCTACAAACACGGGTTCGATGCAAGTCTTGCCAACCGCCAGAGGTATCATTTACTCAGCTGATAAGTGATATCGTTATCGCAATATTAAACAGTGTTATCGCATGTTTTTCTGATATCGTGCAACCCTTTCTCAAACTCCTAGTTTACTGTACATCCGCGATGAGAACAGCTCGATTACAAGTTTGACAGAAAACAACAGAGAGTAAATGTGTCGTTAAACCAAATTATCGGAGATGTTGACACGACAAACAACCCTTTACACATGGCATCACGTCAATTGATTGATCGTTTATATAAAAGATACTATTATAAATCAAACACAAAGCCAGGTGTAGGATGAGGCGTGCAGAGATGGCAAAGGTACACACATCCTTTACTCAAGTAGAAGTACAGATACTTGTGTTTAAAAATACTCTGGTCAAAGTAGAAGTACTGACTAAACTTCGTTACTCAAGTAAAAGTAAAGAACTTTGAAATGTACTTCAGTAAAAAGTACCCATAACTAGCAGCTGTTTTAAAGAGTACCTGACCTCCCTTTATATTAATAGAACAATAATGTCATTGTTAGCTAATGAATGTTTCCATGCTGAACAACGGCAACATGACAACGTTTTCATTGGTCCCTCTTCTTTAGAGAAGACCAGGAAATGATGGATACACGGATCGTGTTCAAATCAATAGGCACGCAATGACTCTAAATAATAATGATCACGCCACCAAACTAGGGATGCCAGAAACTGACCATGACCAAAATCGAAGTTTGGACAGCCCTGGCGAATATTAATCGATTAATCACCACCCCCCCCCCCCCCCCCTCCCGGGAGGAGGAAAAAAAAAACACTGACAAATGGTATTCCGTTGTTTTCTTTTACTGGAACGTGTACATGGTACAAAAGGGCTCTTCAGGTAGAACAGTATTAATAATAGCATCATTTAAATAAATAGCCTACTTTATGTGTATGTATGTATGGGTGTAGGCGAGAGCGCAGCCGGTTAAGGATTAGTCCTGCCGCCGAAAAAACCCTTTCCGAGGGCACAGAGCACTGCGGAGCCCCTCAGCTAAATTAACCGCACTCTTCATCTCCCATTCACTATCGATATAATGGCAGGTTATGGTAAGATAGGATTCAGTTGTAAGTGCCGTCCACCCGTCGGTGGTTATCGACACCTTTGAGACAGTTGATAAGAGTACGGCCCGGGACCCTGTAATCTGGTTCCACGCTTGCCATAAACTCAAGGAAACCGCCTCCTTCCATGACGGAGGGGGCGGGGCGGGGTCGGCGTGTACCAGGCTGCAGCAGCAGTCTGCACTCTGCGCTGCTGGCTTCCTCCAAGTTTACAGTAAAACAAACTGGTGGTGTGATCAATGGTCATTTACAATTATTAATACTATTACTATTATTAGCATTAGTCTATATTTTGGTTGAAACCAAACCAGGAAAAAAAAGAAAAACATAAATATTAATAAAAAAATATATTAATAAAATCGATTTTTAAAAATAATATTCGATTATGGAGACTGTAACGAATAATCGAATAATCGCTGGCATCCCTACACCAAACACACATTCAAACTAAAGGAACCAGCCTGTTTGGAAAAGCTCAGAAGTAGAAAGTTCAGGTATTTGTGTTCAAAATGTAAGAAGTCAAAGTAAAAAGTCGTCAGAAAAATGAGTAGTGGAGTAAAGTACTGAAAAATGTACTTAAGTACAGTAACAAAGTATCTGTACTCCACTACTTCCCTCCTCTGGAGTCTTACCGGAGTGGATGAACATGTGCTTGCTGTAGTTCTTCCTGGAACGTAAAGATTTGCCACAGTGCGTGCAGTCGAACGAGGTCTCAGATCCCTGGGAGGAAGGGGAGGGGCCTGCCGAGGAGGTGGGAGGGGGCGGGGCCGGGGTCATTGGCGCAGGAGGTGGAGCCTGTTGAGTTGGCGCCGCCCCCGCCATGCTGTCAATCCCACCCATTGGCCCGCCCACATAGAAGGGGGATGGCTGCGATTGGCTCACTGGGTACTGGAAGAGGAGCTGAGGACGAAGAAAACGTCAACTGTTAGCGCCGGAGGAAATCCCTCTACGTTATCAGAATGAAAGTGAAAATGTCCTTTCTTTTGTTTAGATATCTACAATACAATTCTTTGATTTGTGCTGTTCTGTTTTGTTCAAAAGATAGTCACAATCAGAATAAATGTGAAAATTAAATGTGAACATGTTTTTATATTTCCTTGTTTGTATTTATTTTGTTAAGATATTTACAAATATAAGGGGAGGGGGCCGGTATTCTTTGATTTGTGCTGTGCTGTTTTGCTCAAAAGATATCAGAATAAATGTGATAATGAACTGTATACATGTTTGTTTTTTTGTATTTATTTTGTTTAAATATCTACAAATATAAGGAGACGGGGGTCGATGTTCTCTCTCTCTGCTGTGCTGTTTTGTTTAAAAGATAATCTGAAATTGCATTGTATTTCTATTCCATATCTACACAACAAATGGTGTTTGAGAACTAAAATAAACCTAGAAGTTGACAACGTTTTTTCAATGATTTAATTAAGTAATGTGTTATTATAATGCATTCCTTCATAATCATTATCATGTATTTTTTGGGTTGTATTTAAAGTATAATAACGGTGTGTGGTAAACGTGTATGCATAGACAGCTGCTTATGTGTGTGTGTGTATGTGGGTGTACTTGCAGGTGGGTATCTGTTTATACATATATATTATGGGTAAATAAGGAAAGAGGCTCCATTGGTTGACACACCTGTCAATCAAAATGAGTAGGCAGAGGTCTGCATCTAAAAAAACTCACCCCGTTTCATTGTTCTGAGTTTCCCTAGAGCTTCTATGTGTTACATTCTGCTTGGATTCTGTAATATTTGTAGTGATAAAGTGATCTGTCTTGTACATCTTGAGCTTGATTTTTCTCCATATTTAATAATTAATGTTAATATTAAGATACTGGAGAATGATCTGATATCAGACTTCCATAAAATGTAGATATTTAATTAAAAAGAGTTCCTAATTAATTAAATGTCCTTGAAAGTCATCAAAAAACGTTTGCAATTTACAAACGTTTATTATTATTAAGTGTTTCTGTAATTGCAGTACAGTATGAGCGGCTGAGCACACTGACCTGGTTGTTGATGGACTGAGAGGTAGGAGGGGGAGTCAGGGGCTTGTTGACCCTTCCTCTAGGGTTGAAAGCCATGGCCTGAGGAGGCTCACTCTGGGGCCAGAAACTCTCCGAAAACACCCCCTGCTCATCGTAAAAATTCTGAAAATACACACAAAAACACACAGGATAAATAATTAAAGAACCCAACTCATATCTCAGGAAAACTGACAACAACAGCTTCTATAGATTTCATGTTTTCGGCTTCAGATCAAGGATTTTTCTGTTAAAGTTGATAAAAAAAATACTGTATCTTTAAGTACTGAACGATTACCTGCTCCATAGATTCACAACTGCCTCGTCTCCCTTGATGAATGTGTGCATAAAGAAACAAACCCTAACGACATATTGTTGGTCCTTCACTGCGTCTCCTCTCTTGTACAAATACCTACAGACCACATCCCTCAGTATTTGCATGTACAACCTATGTTTTACCCCTATCGTCCACATGCATGAGTGACGTTGGTAAGATCAACATGTACAGAGCGGTCCGACCAGTCGAGCTGCATTTCTGTCAAAACAGCAGGGATCAAAGGTACACTTTAATGTGTGGCTGCCGGGGAGATAATGTGTGAAGAAATACCAGAATGGGTGAAGCTCGTCTGAGGTGAAGGGAGCAGGGTCCCAACATGACTCTCTGTTTGTCAGGGTGATAAGAGTTTAACTGACAGATTGCTGGCATTGTAATTCACATGGACCATATAGGGTAGATGTAATGTGTTTGTGCAGTAGAAGAATGCATAATTATTTAGTTATTTGGAAAATCCACTCCCAAATAGAACAAGAAAGTGAAATGTAAGTTTTTAGTTAAAGGTGGGGTAGGTAAGTTTGAGAAACCGGCTCGAGATACACTTTTTGTTATATTCCATGGAATGCTCTTAACATCCCGATAGCAATGAATATCTTAAGTGCTTTGACAAAAAATCCATAAGAAAAAGTCATCTGTGGAAGCTGTGGCGCTGTAAAAAGCACGACCAATCATCTGAGCCGGCCCGGCTAAAATAACTGGATGGCCTACCTGCCTGTCAGCCTTCCATCTGTGCACAAACTTATCTAGTGTCCTCATTGGTCATGTGCGCGTTCGTGTGTGTTGGAGGAGGGGCTCTGTAAGGAAGTGGGAGATTTTTTCCGGCTGTGTATTTTCAAATTCTAGCGATCTCGAGCTGGTTTCTCCAAACTCACCTACCCCACCTTTAAAAGGCGGCGGTTGCTAAAGAGTGAGTAAAGGAAACTACTAAACGTCATCACGCTCAAGTGTCGCTGTCTCGCAGACCCCACGCAGCAACCAGGAAACGACACCAGTAACCCAGCTCACACTGTCCGCTCCAGCAGCGAGCCGCCCATTGTAACACATAATCACTGATGTTCCGCTGTAACGGTGGTGGACTCATCAGAACAGAGTGGGCGAGCTGACCAATCAGAGCACAGTGGGCTCACAGGGAGGAGGGGGGGGGCAGGAGCTCCAACAAGCCGTTTAGGCCAGAGAGTGAATACACATACTATACAGAGATGCTGTATGAGAAACCAATGTGAGTTTGGAACATGGAACAATGTTAATCTATTCTAGTAGACCTCAACAATGGAATTATGATCAGTAGAAATGACCTTTAAATGTCTCACAGTTTATTTTATCATACCTCTAACTCTTTTCATAATAAGTTATTTTGAGATTAAACCATCTCTCAATATTGGGCATGAATAGTCTTGCCATTTGAAAAGGATCAAATTAGTAGAAAGATACGCTCAAAACATGATTTGTAAAATAGCTAATGTACCACAATCGGAGGCTCGTTTTTGTCTTTGTCTTAAACTTCCAAAATTAAAAGCAATGCTCTAAGATAAATCAGATTTCAAAGGTTTGTGATGAGATGTCTTTTCACACTGTGTCAAATGATCTAAAGAGCAGAACAGTGAGACTGCTCATGTTCAGAAGATTAGATTATTTCAAGCAGTGCTGGGTAAATGGATGATCACATGCTTTCCTTCACATGAAAAACACAACGCCCTAACCTCCTCCCAAATTGCTCCATTTCATGTCTTGAGTGACTGCAGCACTTCAGAGGAACATACTGACAGGCCTGTAGCTGAGTCCTGTGTGGCAGATGTTCCTTGTGTTGTCTGCAGCAGGCTGCGGCATAAATCTGCTCCGCTGTGTTTTCTCTCTCTTACTTACTTCAAGAGTTGTGACAGAAATAGTGAGAATAATGTTTTCTTCCCCTTCGATTTGATGTTTCTCATTGTAATGACGCCACACCTCAGGACATTATGATTATAATTTATAATTCTTATTAATCTTCTCTCTGTGCTCGTATTTAAAGGGGACCTATCATGCCAAATGCACTTTTGTACATCTTTTCTACATGAATATGTGTCCCCGGTGTTCCAGGGAACTCACCAAGTGTCAGAAAACACAACCCTCTCTATTTTCCTCCATACCCAAATCTCTAAAAAAGGGGCTGCAACGGATCTGATAAAAACTGATCCAGATTTGAACACTGTCCTGACGTCAGGACGGTGGCGCTACGGCTATTGGGCCAACTCCACCAATCAGGAGGAGACAGCCCCGGCCATTGCCGTTCGAAAGCGCTGGAGACGCTGTAGTACATATGCCAGGCCTGTAGGTGGTGCTGTTCTCACAGAATCTGCCCTTGCAAAAACAGAGCTAACATTTTTCAAATTGAGCAAAATGAGGCATGGCTAAAATGCATGATCTGTTTGTTATTTTGAAAAAAAAAAAGTATAAATATGCCTTATATAGGTATGGTCCTACACTATATTATTCAAATATAGCATGATAGGTCCACTTTAAGTAATTGGTATGTAAGCTGAGATATACATAGATATCTTGCTACATGCAATCCCATTTTATTTATACAGCACATTTAAAAACAACAGAGTTTCTGTACATCAATAAATATATAAAAAAGCAGCATAAATACATTTAGACAAAACCGATAGGACAAAACAAAACGAATGTAAAAGCACGAGACAATAAAACCATCCTTACAGCCACAGACTGAAAACCCTCATACATGATTAAGGTGAGATTATTGTCACCCATGGAAACATGTATGTTATGTGTGCAGTAACTATTCTGCACACATTTGAGTACGTATGCGGGTGTATGTTGTATGCGGGTGTATGTTGTATGCGGGTGTATGTTGTATGCGGGTGTATGTTGTATGTATGTATGTATGCGGGTGTATGTTGTATGTAGGTATGCGGGTGTATGTTGTATGTACGTATGCGAGTGTATGTTGTATGTATGTATGCAGGTGTATGTTGTATGTATGTATGCAGGTGTATGTTGTATGTATGTATGCGGGTGTATGTTGTATGTAGGTATGCGAGTGTATGTTGTATGTATGTATGCGGGTGTATGTTGTATGTAGGTATGCGGGTGTATGTTATATGTATGTATGCGGGTGTATGTTGTATGTATGCGGGTGTATGTTGTATGTAGGTATGCAGGTGTATGTTGTATGTATGTATGCGGGTGTATGTTGTATGTAGGTATGCGAGTGTATGTTGTATGTATGTATGCGGGTGTATGTTGTATGTAGGTATGCGGGTGTATGTTATATGTATGCGGGTGTATGTTGTATGTAGGTATGCAGGTGTATGTTGTATGTATGTATGCGGGTGTATGTTGTATGTAGGTATGCGAGTGTATGTTGTATGTATGTATGCGGGTGTATGTTGTATGTAGGTATGCGGGTGTATGTTATATGTATGTATGCAGGTGTATGTTATATGTATGTATGCGGGTGTATGTTGTATGTAGGTATGCGGGTGTATGTTATATGTATGTATGCGGGTGTATGTTGTATGTATGCGGGTGTATGTTGTATGTAGGTATGAGAGTGTATGTTGTATGTATGTATGCGGGTGTATGTTGTATGTATGCGGGTGTATGTTGTATGTAGGTATGCAGGTGTATGTTGTATGTATGTATGCGGGTGTATGTTGTATGTACGTATGCGGGTGTATGTTGTATGTATGTTATATCTGAATGTTTAAAAAATGACAATAAAAAGAGTATAAAAAAAACACATCTTACACATCAAGGTATTTCTGAAAAGTTTCCTTCTTTGGCCAAATGTAGGAGTTTTCAGCACAACGTAGAAATGAAGGTTTAAAATCTGCATAATCTGGTTTATTTATTTATTTGTATTATATATACTATTTTGTATGTTCTTTCCAACTATGACTATGTATGTCATTAAAGGTGGGGTAGGTAATTCACTTCAGAAACACTGTCAGCCTTACATCTGTGCACAAACTTATCTCGTGCCCTCATTGGTCATGTGCGCGTTCGTGTGTGTTGGAGGAGGGGCTCTGTAAGGAAGTCTGAAGGAAAGGACAGATTCTTTTCGGCTGCCTACTTTCAAATTCTAGCGCACTCGAGCTGGTTTCTCCATTCTTACCTACCCTACCTTTAATGTAATGCATAGAGTAATGCTTTTTCTCAATAAAAATATTTGAAACAATCTGCGTAATCTGTACATTTTCAGTTGGCGTTTTTCATAGGCACCTCTGAGTTAAACCCACCTGTCCAAATCCTGCCATGGGTTCCTGGGAGCCTTCCTGCTGTCCATCTCTTCTCCCGTCCTGCATGGAATAGACGGTCCCATCCTGAACGCCTTCATCTTTCACCACCACGCCTTCTCCTCCCAGCACCTGACCAGGAGAAAGAAAAACACCCCATTTAATGCAAAGTAGAAGATCACAGCATATGGAGTTAGTTAGAGCTCCTTTTTAAAAGCCGGTGAACTGATAAGTTTAACGACCTACAGTGAATAAGCAGAAGTCCATAGAACATCAACAAGGCAATGACTGCAGAAGTTGAGGCGAGAGCTCCTCTTCAACTGTGCAAAGTGCAGGAACATCTCAGCGATATACGCCAATGCAGTCAGTGTGTGGTGTGAGAGAAGAGGGAAAAAAGCAGCGAAAGGAAAAAGAAGCGAAAAAGCAAAGCAGCTCTGCGTGCCTGAAAGCTGTAACCATGGCAACCCTTCCCCTTATTCCCCTTACCTAAACTGTTACAGCAGCTCCTACTCACCTTAATATATTTACTTTAACGTGTTCTTTCATATTTTTTTATGCATGCTTCTTCATTAACATTAATCTGTCTTTTATTTATTTGTATTACTGCACATATTTTATTCCATTCTATTTCAATGTAAATACTGCTATATTTTATTTTACCATATTTTTTTTAATGTTATTATAGTTTTCTTAAAATAGTTACTTACTTACTTTTATGTATGCACCATGACATCAAGTCAAATTCCTCGTACGTGTCAACCTACCTGGTAATAAACATGTTTCTGATTCCCCTCTGTGGGACTAAAAAAGGTATTCTGATTTTAAGGAATTGTAATTATTGTAAATCTAACTGTATTTGTGTCATTGTGTTTTGTACCCATTCGTTGGTATTTTCACATTTATCCTGTCATTTTTACTATATTCTCAGATATGTTTGTTGTTTTTACATAATCATTCATGTTTGTTGATTTGTGAAGCCCTCAGAGACTAATGTGTTTTGTGATATTGGGCTATATAAATACATTTTAATTGAATTGATTCTGATACCTGGTGCCTGAGCGGTTGCCTCTGTTTCCGGCTGTGACTCGGCCCTCTGTCTCGGTCTCCCTCTCTCCCCCGATCCCTGCCGTCGTGCTCCTCCTCCTCGCTGTACCGCTCCATCGCCACCAGCTCGTCCGATAGATCGCCGGCGTTTCCTCGGAGACTGTCCCTGCCGATGCTGTCGACGCTGCCCACGCCGGAGCTGCACCCGGCCGACAGGTTCCCCGTGCTGCCCGCTCCGTTTGCCGTCTGCGCCAAAAGGTCCCGCAGCTTGTACCGGACGTCCTGAGTGCAGCTGGAGTTCTGCTTCATGAGGATTGCTCCGTCGTTTCCACCACACATGGATCCTGGTCCCAAGTCGCCCAAAGACATCAAACTCACCGTGTTAGCTTGCTCCATTTGACCCGAATCGTTAACATTGGCGACCCCTAACCCGCCGCCCATGTTACTAGCTGCACATTCTGCCATGAAGTTGGGGAAGTTTGCGTACCCTCCACCTCCGCTTGCACCCACAGAGCAGCTCCCACCGCCCCCGCTTTCTCTCCCTTTCCCCCCGCCTCGCTCTTCTTGTTTAGGGAGAACTCCTCCGAGCATCCCTCCTCCTCCTCCTCCGCCTCCACCTCCACCTCCGCCTCCTCCTCCTCCTGCTGCCGCTGCTGCCGCCGCCGCCGCCGCTGTAGCCGCCGCTTTCCTCTGAGAGATAATCTGAGTACACTCGTCAATAACCGTCTTAATCTGCAGGATGCTGGCGGCAGTGAGGATGCAGAGCGCCTGGGATTGCAGCACCACCAGGGATCCGCTGTACATGAAATCCACCAGCTGCTTGACGGTTTCCGCGGGCACCAGAGGGGGCACGGAGATCTCAGAGTGACCCAGGAGGAGTTTGTCCTGGAAGAAGGGGCTTCCGGCGGCCAGGACGCAGGCGTGTGCTCGTAGCGAGGCGTCGTGTATCCTTACCGTGACGTCGCAGAAAAGGCCTTCGCGCCGCTGCGTTCTCAGGGCCTCCAGCACCGACTGGCTGGAGTTGTGGAGGTGGATGTAGTGCACGGTCTCTGTGCCGGACACCATGGCGGGAGGCGGCGAGTCGCTGGGGATCGGATGGGAGTGGGAGTGGGGGTGAGGGAGAGGGGGCAGGTGTCTGGGGTTCTGCGACAGCTTGAGGGATAAGGAGGACAGGGAGGGAAACGGGTACAGTGCATGGGCCACAGTGGGTCCGTTTTCCCTCAAACAGTCATGAGTCTCTGAGAGAGTGAGGAGATAAGTGTGTTGTCCTGAGAGAGAGGGGGGTTTCCACCAGCGTCCCTTTCTTTTTCAAAACCCTGTTGAGATAAATCAGAAAGAGAACGATTAATTTTGTATTCGGGATTGTGGGAAACGGCATTTCGATCTCTCTGACTGTACACACAAACTGAAAGATAGACAATAAAGTTGACTTTGATTAAACACTAAGCATCTGTTAAACATTCAGAAATAAAGGATCTATCAATATAATCAAAACATCTCAAAGAATGTCGTCCTTTTAAGTGATTTATGAAGCAAAAATGCAAAACCAGTTCCTGATTCCAGTTTCTAAAATGTTAGAATTTGGTTTCTTTTGCTTTTAATTATAGGTGTCCTCGACTTCAGAATTTCTTAGATGACTTCAAGGTTTCAAGGCTTTTTGTGTGCATAGCTAAAGTGTAGTTATGACAATGAAAATCTTAGGTCACAGGCAACACAATAACACAGATAAAATAGTACAAGTAAATAAAATTAAATATAACAGAAACAAAATATAATAGAAACAGTGCAGAATAGTCTACAGTCATTGGAATATTGATATATGAGTTGCAAACAGATGAATGTTCTTTGACACTCATGATTAGTTGATACGAAAGACAGATCTGAAAACCTGAGTTTCTCCACAAAGGATCATGGTAAAGCAACACTTTGACACTCCTTAGAAATACAAAATAACGTATTCACTTAAGAAATCTTAGTTGACTAAGACCAGATAGAAACCATCTAATTTAGAAGTGGAGGACCTACATTGAGTGACAGTAAAATGAACATATTTGGGTTTTTAAATGCTTATCAGACCAACTAGAACACTCATAATCATATTTATTTGATCATATTATAATTATAAAGCTAACAATCATCATTGGATACATTATGTATTTTTAGAGCCCAGTCACACGGTTGTGTTTAAAGGGGACAACAAATTAGATGTGCTCATAGAATCCTTAGAAATCAGTCAATCAGCATGAAAAAAGCATCACAAAACTACAAATCGAAAGATCATCTAATTGAGATGTGGCAGCCCTACTTTGAATGACAACTACAATGCATATAATAATACAAGAAAAGATTACAATACTAAAAGCTAACAATCATCATGTCATGCTTTTTGTACACCGATTTGTGCCATGTTAGAGCTAAGGCACACAGCTGTATTTGAAGCAGACAACTAAATGAGATGCTAATTAATTCCTCAATCAAGTCTCGTGCATCCTCTGGTACACCTGCCCTGGACAAATGACAACACGTGCAGTGCGCGAGCCCAACAGTTCCCTCAGGTCAGTTTATTTGGCCATTCTTCACAGCGGGTGGCCAGTAACGCAACACCAAAGATACATTTGTCTGTTAGATGCACAAAGGTGAGGTAGTAGAATCTGGACAATCATAACCCTTTGTTTATTAAGTGTAAACTGTCAGCTCCAGTAAATATGTTTCCGAGCAACGACGTTAGCTCCAGGTTAACGGTGACAAGCTAACCAGAACTAACCTGAGCTAGCCGTTAGCTTAGCGTTAGCTGTTGACATTAGCCACTTGACACCCGTACGGAAATCCGCACGAAATGTACACATTTTCTTTATGCAAAATGAGCCTCGCCATCGTGCCTATCGTGAAACATAAAAGCAGCTATCGGAGCTAGCTCCATTACAATGCTAACTTAGCTCGGTTTACTAGCTAGCTAGCTCAAATTGACACAACTAGTTACGTTAGCATGGCATGCTAACGGGCTACCACCACCACCACCCTTTTTTTCGGCACAAAGTGCGTTAACGTGACACTCGTGTTAGTTGAACGGTGTCCCAGGTTGTTTAATCGTGATCACCTACCCGCAATGTGCAGTGACAGCTCGGCGCTGTTGAGTTTGAGGCAGATGGATGCAGCAGGAAGCTCTCAGTGTTAACGCACCCAACCTGGTGAGAGCTGGAAACAAACACACACATGCACGCAAACACACACTCTCATACTCACACGGACTGTCTTGCACACAGACAAGGGATGTGGAGTTTCTCGTGCTTTAACGCCAGCTAGGCAATCCACACATATAATATATGCTGTGTGCTCCTCTCTCATTCACACCCTTTTATAAAGTAGGACACATTCCTGCACACAGATTTTCTCACATCAGACTGATCAGAGACGTGGATGCACATAAATGCATGTGATGTGAGCACACCTGTACACCCACACACTGCAGGAAACACTAACAAAAGAATGATGCACACTAAAGCATATAGATGTGTAATATGCACCTTAGTTTACATGCATCTAATGAATAATTAGTCAATATTAAATCACTACAATATTGAAAAAAATAAAGAAACACCACTTACAGCCCATAAAGAGCAACGCCAGCTTGTCAAGCCATTATATATGCTGTGTTTGTCTCACATTAATACGTGATCACACCTTTTCATTAAGTAGAACAAATTCCTTCACACAGATTTTCTCAGCAGAGAAATGCATGTGAGCACACCTGTACACACCCACACACTGCAGGAAACACACTGTAACAAAAGAATGATGCACACTAACACAGAAGGCTTTTGTTTAAACTGTATCTATACATTTGATTAAAATCGGTATGTTACATATGGGGGAATTGGTCCATGGCATTAGCACAAATTATTGAAATGCTCACACAATAGTATAACAAGCAATAATGTAAAATAAAGATGAATACTAAACCAGAATGAAGCCATTGTGTATATAAAGATATTTATACAAACATAGGTACTTGAAGTAAAATAAAATATATTACATTACATTGCATTTAGCTGACACTTTTATCCAAAGCGACTTACAATAAGTGCATTCGACCAAGAAGATACAAACTTGAAGAAAACAGAATCATATAAGTACATCCGGAAGTTTTTCCTTGTACGATGTGAGGGTCTAAAGGACAGAGGGTGTCGTTTTCTCATACTGATATTCTGCACAAACTGCTGTTGTATTTGCTGTAAAGTGTCTTTACTGTAGGGTATTTTATTATATGTACAGCACTTTGGCTCGACCAAAAATCGTTTTAAAAATGTGCTATATAAATAAAACTTGATTTGATTTGATTTTGATTTGATCAGGTTTCATAGAGCCCAACCATTTCAAGTGTTACTCAACTGGCTTTAGATAAGCCAGTCCTTTATTAGTATATAAGTGCTTTGTTAGTAATTCTTTGTTAGTAATTGTATCGCTCGAACTGGAGTCGAAGGAGGTGAGTTTTCAGTCTGCGCCGGAAGATGTGTAAGCATCTGCTGTCCTGATGTCAATGGGGAGCTCATTCCACCATTTTGGAGCCAGGATAGCAAACCCACGTGTTAATACAAATATGTATCTACACATAAGAAGATAAAGACAAAGGCAACATAATTTATATAACCTAAGAATCTAAAGTAGCATGTAACAAAGATAAAATACAATTAAAATATTTATATAAAAATAGGAAGTTAAAGTAAAATGTCAAAACAAATTGAATAAAAAAAGGTGTGTGTGTGTGTGTGTGTGTGTGTGTGTGTGTGTGTGTGTGTGTGTGTGTGTGTGTGTGTGTGTGTGTGTGTGTGTGTGTGTGTGTGTGTGTGTGTGTGTGTGTGTGTGTGTGTGTGTGTGTGTGTGTGTGTGTGTGTGTGTGTGTGTGTGTGTGTGTGTGTGTGTGTGTGTGTGTGTGTACTTACCAGACCTGTTTGACTAGTCTTCACTCACTAGTCATATCCGGTGCTGTTACTGGAGCCGTGCTGTGCTTAAGTTTATGGGAAGAGTGCCGCAGTAATTACGTGGGGGGCCCAGAGACGGGTGTGTGTGGGTATAGGGAGGGGCTGGGGGGGTGTGTGTGCATATTTCTGTACTTACCAGACCTGTTGGACTTGTCTTCACTCACTAGTCATATCCAATAGGGCTGCACCATTCATAAAACAGTTATTTAAATCTCAATAAGGACTCTAGAGCAATACTGAAATTACAGGAAGCACAGTATTTTGATAAAGGCTAAATAAATGTTAAAAGTAATCAATCCCTCTTATATTGAATTCAAAGTATGGGTCAAAATAATCAATATTTGTTATTGTTTCCAAATCACGAAGCCCTAATATCCATATTACTGATACTATTTATCAGAAATGTGTAAATATTTTTTGTTTAAAAGCATTTATCGTCAAAAAATATCGTAGTGAAATCAAGGTTTTTGGTAAAAAAAAAATATTTCTGATTTTGATATCCCTAACCCTAGTTTAAGATGTCGTTAAATGCAAAAAGAATAGCAGTGATAAAGTGAGTCAAAGCGCCTTGGCCTGATGATAAAATTAAGCCTGGTACATTTAGGACTTAAATAGTGTATAATATGCACCTTAAAGTGGACCTATCATGCTATATTTGAATAATATAGTGTAGGACCATACCTATATAAGGCATATTTATACTTTTTTTTTTTCAAAATACCAAACAGATCATGCATTTTAGCCATGCCTCATTTTGCTCAATTTGAAAAAAAATGTAGCTGTTTTTGCAAGGGCTGATTCAGTGAGAACAGCACCACCTACAGGCCTGGTATATGTACTACAGCGTCTCCAGCGCTTTCGAACGGCAATGGCCGTGGCTGTCTCCTCCTGATTGGTGGAGTTGGCCCAATAGCCGTAGCGCCACCGTCCTGACGTCAGGACAGTGTTCAAATCTGGATCAGTTTTTATCAGATCCGTTGCAGCCCCTTTTTTAGAGATTTGGGTATGGAGGAAAATAGAGAGGGTTGTGTTTTCTGACACTTGGTGAGTTCCCTGGAACACCGGGGACACATATTCATGTATCAAAGACGTACAAAAGTGCATTTTGCATGATAGGTCCCCTTTAATTTACATAAAACACCGCAAAATGCATATACAAAAATAATTAGCCCACTTATGACTACCTAAAGATAATATCATAAAATACTCTATTCTTAAAATATGCTTTTAAAGAGACACCACCTACAGTTTATAAAGAGCAACCAAACCCAGAATGAAAACTAGTGTGATATTGGCCAAGTTACGACATCATGTTGTCCTCAGGTTTATTTCTAGATCAGAGTGGATCGGCAATAGTTTTATTCATAACTGCATTTACAAAAGGCCTGTAGATCCAGTGCTGGACAGAAGAACATGCAACAGATTCAGCAGAGAGTCTGCACATTTCGGTAACACTTTATATTAAGTCACACAAATTCACCATCAACTATTTGTTAATTAGCATGCATATTAGCAGTTGGCTCTTTATTAGTCATTATAAAACACTTATTAATGCCTTATTCTACAAGTACTAGGCCATTAGTTAAGAGTTTTTCCTTAATAACCCTCTTGTGGGGGAAACTTCTGTGTAGCAATGCAGGAGGAGTCACCGACTTATGAAGGAGACACGGGGTGCGTTTCACTTCGCACAGCTGTTCGTCTGACAGCAGCCAGATCAGTGCATGCGCTGCATCGTCCAATCATTGAGCGATACACAGTAAGGGGGCGGGGCGAGTGTATGAGGATTTCACCGGAGGATGGTCTGGTAGTTCCTCGGTTATCGCTCCTCCGTTATCGCTCCTCGATCCTCGATCCTCGGTCCTCTGGCACAAATAAGGCCACTGGGACGCTACTCAAGATGGCTTAGACAAATCAACTTCCGGTGATACCGAGGAGCGAGGAAATGAAAAATAAGAGAAGTGAAACGCACCCACGGGGAGAGCTGGAGCTTTGATGGCAAACACTGATGGGTTTATTTGGAGCCTCGGCCGGAGAATTCACAAAACAAGTCAAAGAGTCAGAGGTTCTGACTTCACGGTAGAGTTGCCACGTCAATTCTGAAGAACTCTACCCCAGACCCGTGTATTTAGCTAGTTCAGAGACAATAATCAACATTGTGCATAACAAGATAGAATCATAACACCTCTATCAGCTGACGCCAACAGGCAGGAACAGGGAGACAAAACACGGAGGGCACAGCAGCCAAGGCTACAGGTGCCTGTGCTCAGTCAGGACAGCATGAACTGATCAACTGGGTCAAAGTTATGGGCCTTGGGAAATATATTTCCCCAACACCTCTAATTAGTGCTTATTTATTGCAAGTAAGTTGCTGTACATGAGTGGGTCTTAATATGCTCAATATGCAGTAGCAGTACCACAAGAATAGTAATTCCCCCATAATGACACCTAACAAATATGATCTATTCTTATGTAACAAGACATGAAACTACAAGTGTTAATTGTGTCAAAATAACGAAACGTGGTATTTCTAACTCAGAATATGTTCCCTATTTGAAAGTGAAGTCTTGTTCATAACAAATAAGCTAGTAGTTTGACTCTAATATGTTAATTAACAACTAGTTGATGGTGAATACCTTAATATAAAGTGTTACCCACATTTCATAATGCTCCCATGAACATTAATTAAAAACCACCAGCGACCTTCTGTTCTCTCAGACTGAAGAAGAGCTTGAAAACTCACTGGTGGTATTTTTAAATGGAGCATTTTCTAGTTTCTCATGTTGAATTGCACCCATGCATTTAACCACTTCATAAAGAAGATAGCTTGTATTGATGGAAAAATACCCTACATGAAAGACTTCTCAATTCTCTAATTTCCCCTCCTCGACTCCTCGACTCCTCGGTCCTCCGGTAGTGACCCGAGGATACACTGATGGGTCCTCCACGGATGTATTTCCGGCAACAGTGGTGTTTCAAAGAGTTGTGACGCGCGGCCGGACTGATCTCAGCCAATGAAAGCTCTGCATGCATCCCCTGGATATTATTTTATATATATCCAGTCTCTGATTGCGTCACGTTATTATGAGAGTGCTCTCATACTTGTTTCATTCTGAAATTGTATATATTTATATAAATGTCCGCATCTGTAGCCTGTTGTCTCATTATACCGCACTGTGAATGAATTAAAAGTAAATATATAAGTGGTCATGAACACATCTGTCCATCAGACAGAGGGCTGCTGTGCCTCCTGTCATCATTAATGGACGTCTCTTTAAAATGACCGCTCAGAGGAGAGGAGTTCTCATTTCTCTAACCGCCTGCTGCTTCCTCTCCTCTCTCCTCGGTTCCCCTCCTCGACTCCTTCGCTCGCATCTCCTGTGGGCGGGACTAAGTCTCGAGGATAGGAGTCGAGGAGGGGACATTTAAGAATTGAGAAGCCTTTATTGTGTCCTTTAAAACATACAAAATCAGGATCTTGTTAATTAGGATGTGTTGTGCAATTTAATGAGAAACTATTAAATGGAAATTAGTTTTATTATAAGTACAGATCTCTATCTTAACTACTCCATCTTTAAACAGTTCTAGCTGCTCGATTTTTAGCTCATATTGGTATTAAGTCCTCTTGTTCCTCACATATTCTTATATATGTGCCCTGTAATTTAATTTCAAGTTAAGGCATACCTCTGCCGCTGCTTGATAGTTTAAGAAAGAGACGCCAGGATTTGGTCCACAACAAAATATAATTTAATGAATTCACTTTCACTGTGTCGATCACAAATCTCTATTGATGTACAAAAGAAAAACAGAAGAAAAGAAAACTGATCCAGAACTCTCCTTTGTCTTAATGTAAGGCATGCAGTCTCCACAGAGCTTTGGACATTGAAAGCTACAGCTCACTACAGTAAGACACACCGACACTCGCCACAAACACACACAGAAGCACTCATAGTATCCACTCTTTTCACGGGGCCCAATAAACATTTATTCGTTTGCACATACAATGAGAAAAAGTGGGGATTCATCACAACACCAAAAGTATAGTAGTTCACAAATAGCAACAGGATACGCTAACACCTCCACTTTCTGCCTTTCTAGGAGAAAATGGTGCGGTGCCGTTGGATTACTTTAATATGTGAGTTACACTGACAGTTACACAAAAAGTGGTTAGTAGCCAAGCACATTGTGTGGGCATGTTGCACAGACATGAGGATGATTTGAACAGCCGTGACTCTTGCGTTCAACCCTTTTTGCAACGACTTTCCTCATTCAGTGAGAAAGACGTCCTTCATTGGGAAGTTACCTGCTTGTTCGTAACCCTCATATAAAAAGACATGCTGACATTTTCTTGTGTCTATGATGCAAAAATCCTAATGACCTCTGGGATTCAAAGTGGCCTCAGCTATATAAATACATTTATATATTTGCCTCCATACATAGAAAAATAAAATTAGCAATACACATATTGCACACCTATGGATTTGTTTTAGGTTTATCAGTTTACTGATGAGTTATAGAGGAAAATGTACAAACATGGAAATAATAAACCCTCTGGTGCAGTATAAATAAATTAGATATTTAATTTCCTATTCATGCAGCATGACTCTCTGGCTGTGTGTGGAGGGGGGGAGTCACGGCTGCCAAAAGGGGGGGAAATGAAAGGTGGGTGCAGTTTAGGGTGGAGCAGCAGGTAGTCTTTCCTCCAGGAGAAGCAGGTGGAGCAGCAGGTAGTCTTTCCTCCAGGAGAAGCAGGTGGAGCAGCATGTCGTTTTCCCTCCAGGAGAACCAGGTTTCCTCACTGCTGCTGGGCGTCCAGCTCTCTCTGCCGGCAGCCGACTGCAGTGATGAGAGCGGCTCCCTTCCCGCTGCCGTCCTCCGACAGCAGGAAGTTGACGTCACATTTCGGGGCGAGATCCTTCACCGTCTGATGGAAAATCCGTGAGAAGCTGAGAGGAGGAGAGAGACAGGAAACTGTGGTTAGGAGGGAGGGCGCTGCTGAAGGGAAAGACATTAGGGATGCTTTCGAGTACAATCAGAATACTGGGAAATTCGTTTTTTTGCATTTGCTCTATTTTAGAATGAAATCTATGAAAAAAATTGTATGTATATATATAAACTTAGGAAGTGAAAGAAAGAATGTGCAATACAATAAAGATATGAATATAAACATAAGAGGTTTAAGTACATTTTCAATAAAAAATAAATGAATAAATGTTTATAAAATATGTATCTAAGTAACATGTAAAAGAAGATAACATTGAATATTAATGTTTTAAAAAAAAGTAAAACTATGTCTGCAAAAAGCTTTGGTTATAGAGTGTGTGTGTGTGTGTGTGTGTGTGTGTGTGTGTGTGTGTGTGTGTGTGTGTGTGTGTGTGTGTGTGTGTGTGTGTGTGTGTGTGTGTGTGTGTGTGTGTGTGTGTGTGTGTGTGTGTGTGTGTGTGTGTGTGTATGTATAAACTTGAAAGTAAGGTGTGCAATAAGAAGTTAAAATAAAAAAAGGATATTGATATATACATAGGAAGTTCAAGGACATTTTCAATAAAAGAGAAATTAATAAATGTTTATATACATATAAGAAACATTTTAAAAAGATCAAAAATAAATATTAATATTTATTTAAACTTAAATTAAAGTAAAAATAAAATAGGATTAAAATATGCATATATATATATAAGAAGTTAAAATAGAGAGTTAGAAAAGATAAAATACAATAAAGAATATTTATATAAACATTGAAAGTTTAGCAAACATTTGTCTTTTTCTTGTTGAATTCCTTTGAGATCCTAGAGGCTACCTTTGTGTAGACTAACATGTTAAAAGGGTTAGTGTCAAAATGTCATAAATAAATAATTGATACAAGAAAGAAAGACGCTACAACCTTTTTAAAAAGCCTGAAATTCAATATGTAGTATTTTTTACAATGAATGACCTCCTTTCCCCTCCCCTTATGTCCCTCTCCTTACTGTGGGTGCAGCTTGTAGAGCGTGCCGTCCACTCCCACTGTGATGTCGAGGTGCTCGAGGCTTCTGTTCTCACGGATCTTGTCGACCACGGCCGCCATCCCGGCTCCGCAGATCTGAGCGGCGCGACGGGACACCGTGCCACACACCTCCTTCACGATTATACTGTCATCACAGGTGCTGTCCAGACCCAGCTGCTGCAGGATGGCTCTGACCTGAAGGAGCGCCAGACGATCACTGTGGAGAGAGAGAGGGGTCAGAGGTCAGCCAACAGCAGGAGAGACACCGGATACTTCTCAGCTGCTCCCAGGGGCTAAGGTAGGCTTAAACAGTGTATAAACTCAAGTCCTCACATTAGACACCCTCCCTACTCTTCTTCCTCCCCCTCCTCCTCTCATACCTGTTAGCCCACTAGATGCTACTCCTCCAAGAACAATGCTGCTTAAGCATGCACTCTTATGTGCTTACCCTCTCAATCTTACTACTGTGTTTGTACGTTTAAGCCTCAAACAGTGTATAAAAGCAGTGGTGGAAGACGCATTAAATTCCTTTACTAGAGTAAAAGCAGTAAACGTCCTGCAAGGAATTTCTTTTTATATTATCAAACAGTCACACATTTTAGCTATGGTCCTTATAAAGGAAAATCCACCCATTAGCATTCACAGTTAGTATTTGGTGTGAATTGCCTTTACCTGTCTACATCTACTATCTACAGAACTATGGTTACATGTTCTACATTTCACACATTATCATCACTGCTGCTATCAGAGTTGGAATTCTAAGGATTTCTTACTGTGTGATGTTGGAAAGTAATCCAGCTGGCATTGATCTAGATCACAGCATGCTATGTTCTGCCATGAAATACTTCATTTAAGTTGCATTTAAATCTGATGATAGCAACACAAGTTTTTTGCTTATCTGCTGAAATAGGAACATTTTACCACAAAAAGGACAACAAATATATAAAGAATAAGTATAGAGTAGTTGTCTGCCTTAGTAATAATGCATGTTAGGTGTTTGACTCGCCTCTCTATCTGTGACAGGAACTTGGTCTCGAAGATGCCTCGGGTCTTCAACGCCTCAGAGATTTGTCCCCGGAAGAGGAAGCCACGCTTGGTCAGATCGAGCAAAATCTGCCTGACGATTTCTCCGAGGTACATCCCACTGCACATCTTCTCGAATCTGACACAGATAACAAAGAGACACATATTAAATAGCCTTAAGATGAGAAAACACATACCTTCTATATTTAATATCTAAAATACAGTTGATATATCCTTTATTTAAGTCTCAATAGGCGCTTTCACACCGGAGTACTTTTACCAGGAATAGTTCCGATAGTTCCTGGGATTTTGCGTTCACACCAAAAAGACCTGGAACTAGAACTTTTTTTTGAGAACCTTTTCACCCCTTTTTAGTCCCTGCTAGAGAGCAGGTACTTTCCTGGGAGAAAAAGGTTCCAATTTCTGATTGGCTGGGCGGATTGCAAACCACGGCCCGTAAAACTCTGAAAAGTTTTTGTGAAGCCGCCATTTTATTTGCTCGCATTAGCATTATTAGCATTAGCCCAGCGCACCAACAGAGAGAGACTAACTTATGGCAACATTAAAAAAAACATGGGAGCGGTGGAGATGAGGAGGTGTCGGCGTTCTGGCGATTTACTCGGAAGGCTTCAGTAGAAGCTGCAGGGAGTCCCAGCAGCTTCTACTGAAGCCAGTCCCCAACTTCGGGGACTTCCGGCCGGGGACTTCGGGTGGCAGTATACGCCGTGAAGTTGTTTGCGGCCTGCCAGTAAACCCAAAGCAGAAGAAGAAGGAGTGAGCGGCTCCCTCAGGGACTTATTCCGGTGTGAACGTGATTTACTAGATAGTTCCAGGAAATAAAAGTTCCGGGAACTATTCCTGGGAAAAGTACTTGGTGTCAAAGCGCCTATTGAGATTGAAATCTCTTTTTCAAGAGTGACCTGGCCAAGAGGGCAGCTTGAACAAAGTTACAACAAATGAACACAAAACAATACAGGCAGAGGAATACAGCTGTAAAACCCAAATGAAAAGGCACATTAACCAGTCAATATGCAAATAAAAGAAACCATTATAAAACATTACACATTTTAAAACGACTTCAAGTATGGGATATAAGAGCAATCACATCGACCAATGGATTCTTGTTCTCTGTCCTTTAAGATGGACTTGAATTCCCCCATAGAGATCAAATCTGAGAGTTTCAGCTCCTTCTGTAAATTAATTCATGATAGAGCGGTGCAGGGAGGACGTATTTACCCGGAAGGAAGCTGCGCATGGGTTCCCTCGACAAAAGCAATGGGATTTCTCCATAGGATTTTGGAAAATAGCTGAAAATAAGGTCTGTGGAAAACGAAGCTGTTTGATAAATGCACCTTTTGTTCAGCCGGATAATCTCCACATGTCTACTCTACTTTTACAATTTTCGAACCATAAATCTAATCGCCAGAACCAAAATGCTAACGTTATGCTATAAACGAACCACAGCAGGGTCGCACGACTTCAACGTCACGCCAACTTAAGATCCATATTCAAAAATACAGATTAAAAATTGTACAAGTTGAAGCGTTTGTTTGAACAGTTTGCAGGAGGCAGGTACTTGCTTTCAAACCGAACAGGGGCAAACAAACTTAGCGGGAGTGTTTACGTGTTCGGCGTAATGACGTACAACGACCTCGACAACTTCTGTAGTCCTATTCAGCCACTTGTTAACAACCATCGTTTTTCAGACACGTAAACTCTTCAAAGAATCACCAGTGGGGTCACTGCTGATGGATTTAATGTTGAGAACAAAACGTGATCTGTCTCTTCAATTTGTCTCAACCACAGACCTTATTTACAGATATTTGGAGAAATCCCATTGGCTCTGAGACGAGGGAACAGGAAGTGGTAAAATGCTAACTTACTTCCGGGTTTTAGGACTCGTCACTGCACCACTCTATAGGTGACCTTTAATATCTAATGTATAGTTTGATAGTGGCGGTGTCTTCACCTCTGTTTCCCTTCGTTGAGCGAGTTCTCGTCCACCGACTGGTCGTACGTTGTCCTGATATCATCCAGACAGCCGTTGTCTCCGAACGCTCCCCACTCCATGTTCACACACATGCGGCCCTCGTTTCCCTCCACGATCTCGATGTTCTTCGCCTCCTCCATGTAGCAGGCGTTACTTCCGGTCCCTGAGAGGACACACAGGCAGTACATTTATTAAAAACCCTGAAGCCTTTCTGTTTTTTGAGACCTTTCTGAGAGTATTAGTGTCTCCTATTGGTGCTGTACGGAGTGGTTAATATAACAAAGTCTGATTCTACAAGTTCACCATCTACTTATCTCCAAAATACTGTCACGTGAAGTTTTTATAAACCATTTCTAGGGCTGTATGAATAGTTTGAAGCTTTATTCATAAAACTTTTCAAATTCCGCACAGATTCTTTTCTGTATTGTTATTCATTCCCTGAGAGGACAAAAAGGCAGTACATATATTCAAAACCTAGAAGCCTTTCTGTTCTTAAATGTACAAATCTCTGACCCTTCATACGTTTATTATTGTCTTCTGTTGGTGAAGTAAGAGTACACAAGTTCACTATCTAATTCATTACCAAATACTGTCACCTTTAACTTTTTTAAAACACATTTCTCGGGCTGTATGAACATTTTGAAGATGTTATAAGTTAGATACTAGTGGTGGATGCCTATCATCATTGTTTCGGACTTGTGTAATCTGAACATTTCCAATTAAACCAGAGCATTGGTTAGTCAAATAAATCTGCATTTATTATAAAATGATAGATCTTGTAATGCTTTTATCTTACAAATAATTATTCTTCCATCCATGCATTGCATTTCGATCCATATTTGTTGCCGTTTAGCTTTTTAAAAAACTGCATTTCCAAATTCCTCTACGCTTGCTGCACACAAATAGACACACACCTGTATTACGATAATGTCTAGCAGCAAACTAACGAAACTGCGGAGTTATATGTATGTAAGAAACACTAACTGATTCACCCCGGTAAATCACTTTAGTGGAATTAAGTATTTTGTTCAAACATTTTATTTTGGCGGGGACTGATGTGGAAATAAAACGAATGAAATTCTCAAAAACAACAAATTACTTTATTAAAAAAACTCCAAGGTGAAAAATCCGTAAAACGCTACAAGACCGTGATTTAAGATGAACTTGTTGGTACAATGACTAACCTGCGATCAGTCCCACTTCACAGTTTGGCTCCTCGTATGCGCAGGTCATCATCGTGCCCACCGTGTCGTTCACTATCGCAACAACATCCAGCTCAAACTCCTGAGAAAACAAACACCATGTTTTGTTTTAAATCACATAAAACTGCACACCTGTCACTATCATTACATTAAAAAAAACTCACAATTCAATATATTGGCTGTTATGATCAAATAAATAGTGTAAAAAAAATGATGTTATATTTGATTATTAGAATGGTAAAGCAAGATTCCCTTTCTTCACATGGTATAAATGTAAGACGATAACTAACCAAAACAAATTGAAAATATGTTAATTCATAATATTTAATCACAGCTACGTCCTCATTTAATTAGTAGCATCGGTAGCTGTATTGGTGTGTAGAAAGAAGGATTAATATCAACTTTTCAAACAGCACACTGAGCACAATGCAGTTCACTCAAACAATGAAAAACACAAGCTGATCCAGAGCGCTGCAAATCCCAGGAGCTTCGCCAAACACACAAAAGACCCGAGGATCATCCACTCCCATAATTATGAGCTTTAGAAAGAACCCCACACACTCCGCCCCCACACACTCCGCCCCCACACACTCCGCCCCCACACACTCCGCCCCCACACACTCCGCCCCCACACACTCCGCCACAGTATCTGAACGTTGGTTTTCCAGGTGTTATTATGACATGCCATTTCAACAATAACACACTGCTCCAGCCCTGCACTGCTTTACCTGTCAGTTAATGATTTACAGTCACTTAATACTTACTGGATCCTCCACCTGAAAGAGTGAAATCGATACAAGAAACTCAAACGTGAGGATTGGTGAAGAAAACTTTCTGAAGACAAAACGGATGCAACAATCAAAACTAAAATCGGGCCCTTTTTAATGATGTTTTATTTCTATTTTGTGATGATTTGAGAATGGTTTATTTTTACTCTTTTATTTATGTGCAATGCCTTGTTTTTTTATGCTGCTGCAATGCAAACATTTCCCAATTCTGGATTAATGAAGTACATCTTATTTTGGGTGGATGGATAGACAGGTAGGTAGACAGGTAGGTAGGTAGGTAGGTAGGTAGGTAGGTAGACAGGTAGGTAGATAGACAGGTAGACAGGTAGGTAGATAGATAGATAGATAGATAGATGGATGGATAGATGGATAGATAGGTAGGTAGATAGATAGATAGATAGATAGATAGATAGATAGATAGATAGATAGATAGATAGATAGATAGATAGATAGGTAGGCAGGTAATGTTTGCGTAAAAAAACAAGGCAATGTACACAATTAAGACACAAGAAATAAACAGTCCAAAATTATTCTGAAAATGAAATAAAAAATACACATTTCCAGTAACAAATATAATGCAGGATATTATTGTGCAAGAAATGGATTATTCAATATTATATATTATGACTATCTTTGCCCATTACATTTGATCAATGAGTTTATTACAGGGCTCCTTTTTGCCCCGCAGCGTTCAGTACAGGAAGAATTTCTATTTGTATTCTTTGGCAAGATAACAAACAGTAGTTCTGTAGAGCAGGAACAGACAAGTAGGTAGACAAACACACGCATCCTGCCAAAGGATTGTTGATCTAATGTCAACAACAACAACAACAATGCTACAGAGGCTGCATGTCAGTCAGACTTGTAATATGCAGGCTTTAAAGCAACATGAGACAACAGTCTAAGCTTCAAAGAGACAGATGATACAAGGTGCATTTAAACAAAAACAAAGCGTTGATAAAGTCTTTAAGTTCTCATAAACACATTCAAACCAAACTGCCTCGATGCTTCAGCAAAGCAGCAGTCAGAAGTTCATTACAAATGTCATTTAATAAGAGTAATCTAAATCTTGAATCTAAATGAAATATTGCCCACACTTTCCTTTCATTGCTACGTTAATTGCGTTAAAGCTCAAATCTGTACCTTACTTTGAGCAAACCCTCACTAAAATGATACTATTTCACTTCCTAATTTTCTCTTAATGACAGATTTGTCACAAGAAAAATGAACATGTTGGAAACGCTGGACATGCTCTGTGTTGCTGCAGTGACATAATAGCCTTCTTAATGATGATGGCATGTACTTCCTGTTTGCAATTACCTCTTTCCTCTTGATGGCGTCCCGAAGAAGCTCCACCACATTTTCACCCTCACAGTCTGTAGCCTTGAAGCCTTTGGTCCAGGTTACGAGAATACCCTGCAGAGCACATAACACTTACTGGAAGATATCTGACAGAGAGTAGCACACTTTAATGCCAACACAGCAGACTTTAATGTTCACTTTCATCTTGAACACAAGGGAGAAATATGGACGAATATAACAGATTAGATATGCAAATATATATTTAGTAGTTAGGTGCACTTGCAGAATAAAGCCATAGACAGAAGATTGCTTGTACTGAACTGTAAACTAAATGCTTTCTTTAAATTACTTGCCACCCTTTGCATAGATGTTTGTGGTAAACTCCACCTCTTTTACATTGAAGTGACCCAGATGTTTTCCACCTAAACCTTGGACACATGGGAGAAATATAGACGGAGACAAATATTATGTATGCTAATATATCTTTGGTAGTTAAGTGTAGTTGCACACTTAAAGGTGGGGTAGGGAATTCACTTCAGAAACACTTGTTGTTATATTCCATGGAATGCTCTTAACATCCAGATAGCAATGAATACATTAAATGCTTTGACAATAAATACATAAAAAAATGTCATCTGTGGAAGCCGTAATACTGTAAAAAGCACGACCAATCATCTGAGCCGGCCCGGCTAAAGTAACTGGATGGCCTACCTGCCTGTCAGCCTTCCATCTCGTGCACAAACTTATCTCGTGCCCTCATTGGTCATGTGCGCGTTCGTGTGTGTTGGAGGAGGGGCTCTGGAAGGAAGTCTGAAGGAAGGGGCAGATTCTTTTCGGCTGCGTACTTTCAAATTCTAGCGCACTGGAGCTGGTTTCTCCATTCTTACCTACCCTACCTTTAAGCCACATACAGAAGACGGCTGTTTGAACATTACTGTACACTTAATACTCCCTTTAAGTACTTTAACGTTGTGTACATTTGCATAGATATGTGTGGTAATCTCCACTATGATTTCATCAAAGGGACCCAGATATGTCTTCTTATTTTACAAAAACGGTGTGCTAATTTTAAGACGATTGATGGAAAACTTACTGCGTCGAGGCTGGTCTGATGGCAGGGGAAGGAGAAAGTGAAACCCAGCGGCAGGCGAGCGCTTTTCATTCCCATGTAGTCCAGGAAATCAGAGATGCAGTGCACGATGTGGTCAAAGAGCTGCAAAGAGACATGCTTTTAGTGTTTTCTATACCGAGAGATATGGTCAGTTATTGATCTATGGTGAGACGAAAACGTTTGTATCTACTCGATATCAAAACAACTGAACATTCATAAACACACCTCCGCCCCTCAAAGACTGCAACCACTACTATTTAGAAATATGTATGGCTATGTTACTTGCATCCTTTGGTCACTAAAACCCTTTGTGAACACAGTTAGAAATACAGTTTGGTACATTTAACGTTTTTAGACTGTAAGTGTAAATATGCACATTGACATTGAATGTTATCTCGTTGCACTGTCATCGCTACTACCTCTGCTTTTACCACTCTTATTTATTTATTTGTGTCTATTGTTTACTGCAGTGAGAGTTGCCAAAGACATTTCGTTGTACTTTGTATGATGACAATAAATATATATTCTATTCTATCCTATATCAAGCAGAAAATGGAATACAAGTGAGGACAGTTTAGGAGCTTGAAGGAGTTTTGTTTGAAGAAAGACCAAATGATGACCTCTTCTCCGGTGCCCTGCATGACCTCTATGGGAATGGCGTAGATCTTGTTGTGCATTTCCACCGATCGCTTCTTCCCGCTGCGAATCTTCACCAGAAGCACACGGAAGTTTGTTCCTCCGAGGTCCAGAGCGAGGAAATCTCCGTTCTCTGCGTCACAAGAAAGACTTTGTCAGGTTGAGAACAAACATAACTTCATCTGTAAACACTAAATACGTTTACTTCTATCTCTTACTTCTTATTTATCTTATTTTCAGAAGAAATAATGCTCCCTGAGGCTTAAATAATACTGTTTAAAGGTCCCCTATTATACTGTTTTTCATCAATATATTACAGGCCTCAGATATATACAGAACATGTCTCTGAAGTGTTTGGCTCCAAACACCAAACAGATCATTGCAGCATCCCATAACCCCCTCTGTTTCAGCCCTGTTTCCAAAGTGCTGATTCTCTGTCTGTTAGTTTAGATGAAAATAAGGAGCCACTCCCCACGCCCCTCTGAGAGAGATTTGGTTAAAAAGAACACAATAGGCGCGTTCACACCGCAGTACTTTTCCCACTTAAGTTACGATATAGTTCCGAAATGTTGCGTTCACACCAAAAAAATCCGGAACTAAAATGAGTTCATCAGAACCTTTTCACCCCCTCCCTTTTCCGTCCCTGCTAGAGAGGTGGTACTTTCGTGGGAGAAAAAGGTTCCTATGTCTGATTGGCTGGGCGGATTGCAAACCACGCCCCGTAAAACTCCCAAAAAGTTTTGTGAAGCCGCCATTTTATTATCCTCGCATTAGCATTATTAGCATTAGCATTAGCCTAGCGCACAAACGCAGAGAGACTAACTTATGGCAACACAAAAGAAAACATGGGAGCGGTGGAGATGAGGAGGTGTCGGTGTTCTGGCGATTTACTCGGAACGCTGCTGGGAGTGCCAGCAGCTTCTACTGAAGCCAGTCCCCATCTCCAGGCACTTCCGGCCGGGGACTTCAGGTGGCAGTATACGCCGTGAAGTTGTTTGCGGCCTGCCAGTAAACCCAAAGGAGAAGAAGAAGAAGTGACGTCAGCGGCTTTATTTGCCTAATCCTCCCTCAGGGAATTATTCCTTATTCCGGTGTGAATGCGATCTGTACTTAGTTCATGAGAACTAAAGAGTTCTGATGAACTAAGTACAGATGAACCATTACATTACATTACATTACATTACATGTTAGACGCTTTTATCCAAAGCGACTTACATACTCAATACTGTGGGCAATCCCCACAGGAGCAATTTGGGGTGAAGTGTCTTGCCCAGGGACACAACGACATGCTGACTGCAGTGGGGTTTGAACCTGTGACCCTCTGATCCGAACACATACGCACAACCCACTGCGCCACACAAACCTTTGTGAGAAAAGTACTGCGGTGTGAAAGCGCCTAATGGTGCTCTAGGAGGAGATTCAGGTGATAAGGCGGGGGGGGGGGTTACCTTGGTTGCTGATTGGCTAATGGTTACACAAGCTATAAAATCGTTATGACATCATGAAGTGGCCAAAATCTGATCAGCTCATTTTCAGACAGGTTTTTATATAAATGGATCAGGACAAAAAGAGAGAGAATCTTTGTTCCTGAAACTTTCAGAGTCTCTTTCCACAGAGGGGACAAATGGTGATGTAGAAGAGACATGAAGAAGAGAGGACACATGTTGATGTAGAAGAGACATGAGGAAGAGGGGACACATGTTGATGTAGAGGAGACGTGAAGAAGAGGGGACACATGTTGATGTAGAAGAGACATGAAGAAGAGGGGACACATGTTGATGTAGAGGAGACGTGAAGAAGAGGGGACACATGTTGATGTAGAAGAGACATGAAGAAGAGGGGACACATGTCGATGTAGAAGAGACATGAAGAAGAGGGGACACATGTTGATGTAGAAGAGACATGAAGAAGAGGGGACACATGTCGATGTAGAAGAGACATGGAGAAGAGGGGACACATGTTGATGTAGAAGAGACATGAAGAAGTGGATTTTGCATAATAGGTGACCTTTAAAGAATAGGTGGTCTACTTCCACTCCCACATTAGAACAGATTAAAGGTTTTATTCCCTTAAGAATAACTAGAAGTACTCGTAGGTCGATTTTCCTCTTAGCTTTTGAAATGTTTATCTACTAGTCTGAACTTGTCTGCCAAGGTTAGGTACAGTAAGAGATATACAATGACGGTTCAACGTAATAATTCAAAATCCAATAATCCTCTTAATACAACGTATCAGAGCCTGTTGTTCTCATTACTTCTGAGGGCTAAGAATTAGAAAAACTGCCAAGTAAGACACATTTTAGATTTGAAATATAAACCAGGGAGCCTCATCTGATCTTTTGAACATCGTAGGACCATGTTGGAAATAAGGGATTTCACATTTTTCCTTTGGACACTTTTGTGGTCTTATACAGACATTTGATTATTGCTCACCTGTTCCATCTGGTGTTCTTCGGACGAAAGTGGGCAGCATTTTGACGGTGGCCTCCTCGTGGCTGCTCTTCTTCAGGCCTCTCTCGATCTCCACCCTCATGCGTTTCTTCACCTCCAGCAGCTGCTCTTTGCTCAGCCTGAACTCCTCCATCGTCTGCTGGATCTGACGCGCCTGCTCCGTCAGACGATAAGCGACGGCCGTCACCATGGCGGCTCCTTTGGCGCTCCCACTCTCCGACAGCAGGAAGCGCACGTCTGAGTCCGGCACCAGGCGGCGCACCGTCTTGTGCAGACGGCGAGCGTATCTGTTCACAGAGCAGGAGATATTCTTATAAGAGAGAGGCTTGATCATAGAAACAAAATGTATATTTGTATTTACTGATCATTTTTTAAATCCTTTTGGGATTTGGACGTTTGAAAAGATGCTCCATTTTGTTCGTATTTCACACATTCACACCTTTTTTTGGCTGTGAACTGAAACCATTTCAGAATATTGGACTGCTATTAAAAATGTTTTAACATAATGTTATTATATATTGTAATTAGCAACGCATGAATAAATAAGGCAGGGTAAAATGATCCATCACCACATCAATCTGGATCATGGATAATGACATGTATCAAAATATGGGAAATAATCTGAGAGGAAATACGATTTTGTTTTAAAGTTGAATTCACCAAATTTAATTACAAGATATTTATCATCATATAAAAATGCAAAAATAAAATCAAAATTATCTAAAAAGATTGTACGTTTTTTTAAATTATATATAAATAATAAGCTTGTTTTTCAAAAGGTACCCAATACAACACATTTCATGTTTGTTGGGACTCAAAGAGATCAGAGTATCATAAACAGATATAGCTGGAATACACAGTTATATTGAATTATTGTCCGTGACTCAATCCCCCCTCTAATAACATATGTATTTATTAAATAAGGAAACATCCACAGTTATTTTGGGATTTGTGTGGGAGTTTTATTTCTTTTAAGTCGTTTTTTAGAGTGGGAAATCATTAAGAAAGGACTGGTGTGCGTCCTCCTTATTCCTCAAAGGATCTTATTTGCCTGTATCTCTTTTCTAGTATATATTTTTTTCCAGGAAGCGGGTATTTATGCAAACATGAGGGCGAATGCAGAGACATGAAATCCCTGTATTTAATATTCAGCGTGACTGTACTGCTCCTCTGTTTGAAGGACACTCACTGAGGGTGCATCTTGTAGAGCGAGCCGTCGATGCCCACGGTCGTGCGGAGGCGTGCGACTCCTTTGTTTTCCTTCAGACGGGAGAGGATGCCTCCCAGTGTGGCAGAAATCAGATTGGCAGAGCGGAAAGATACGATGGCGCACACGTGCTGAACAGCGAGACAATCTTCATCTGACGGCTCCACCCCGAGCCTCGTCAGGATCTCCATACACTTCTTCAGCCCTTCTTTAGTCCTGAAACCACAAGGAGCTTTCGTTATTAACAGAGAGGGCAAAAGTACACACATCCTTTACTCAAGTAGAAGTACAGATACTCGTGTTTAAAAGTACTCTGGTGAAAGTAGAAGTACTGACTAAACTTCTTTGCTCAAGTAAAAGTAAAGAGGGCTTTGAAATGTACTTCAGTAAAAAGTACCCATACCTAGCAGCTGTTTTAAAGAGTACCTGACCTCCCTTTATATTAATAGAACAATAATGTCATTGTTAGCTAATGAATGTTTCCATGCTGAACAACGGCAACATGACAACGTTTTCATTGGTCCCTCTTCTTTAGAGAAGACCAGGAAATGATGGATACACGGATCGTGTTCAAATCAATAGGCACGCAATGACTCTAAATAATAATGATCACGCCACCAAACACACATTCAAACTAAAGGAACCAGCCTGTTTGGGAAATGTAAGAAGTAGAAAGTACAGGTATTTGGGTTCAACATGTAAGAAGTAGAAAGTACAGGTATTTGGGTTCAACATGTAAGAAGTAGAAAGTACAGGTATTTGTGTTCAACATGTAAGAAGTAGAAAGTACAGGTATTTGTGTTCAAAATGTAAGAAGTAGAAAGTACAGGTATTTGTGTTCAAAATGTAAGAAGTAGAAGTAAAAAGTCATCAGAAAAACAAGTAGTGAAGTAAAGTACTGATGCCAGAAACATGTACTTAAGTACAGTAACGAAGTACTTGTACTCCACTACTTCCCACCTCTGGTTATTAAACATCTCATCCCTGCTGTTAAGATAATAAGTACTCTATTGATCCAAATTTGGGCATAAAAAGACAAGGCATTGTATACATACAAAATTAAAAGACTATAAATAAACATTCCAAAATGTAAACATCTCAATAGCAATAAAATAGCATTAAAATAAAAGTTAAAAATATACATGTTGAATTACACATTTACAGTTGAAGAGATACAATGAACCAGCAAATCCTAATTATCATTTTCATGCTTTTCATATTACTAAAATAACTGGATGGCCTACCTGCCAATCTGTGCCTATCTGTGCTCAAACTTATCTCGTGCCCTCATTGGTCATGTGTGCGTTCGTGTGTGTTGGAGGAGGGGCTCTGTAAGGAAGTCTGAAGGAAGGGGCAGATTTTTTTCGGTTGTGTATTTTCAAATTCTAGCGCACTCAAGCTGGTTTCTCCATTCTTACCTACCCTACCTTTAAGTGTGCACGAGAGGATGTGTCTTAATGTAATTGTAATCTCAGTAACAATAGGAAGTAGTTTGATGTCTTGTAAATGTTAGAAAGTGTTGCCGTGGTTTCAATAGCAATGGAGAGACATGTCGGACTTAATCAAGCTTAATTTTCTAAGAACATTTATGCATGTTTCCTCTTGTGTATTATTCTGCAAGTTCCATTCTCACTTTTCGATGGCAGACACGTGTTTCGTCTCGATCTTTCCTTTAGTCAGCAGCTCGGGGGTTATCCTCCCCTCGAAAATAAGCCCCTCTTTGGCCATCTTCACCAGGATGATTCGCACCAGCTCCCCCATGTACATCCCACTCGCCATCTTCTCGAACCTGAGAGCAAAGAGAAACACGGCAGCGTTTTTTGTTAGAAGTCGTGCCATGGATGCAGTTATTCATTCATTCCTTCTTCTCTTCAGTAGAGTCGACATGCTGCTGTTGCCGGGCCAGATTCAGATTCAGAAGATCTGCATCCTCATTTTCTATTCCTACGATGAATGTTGTAGTTTCACAAGGAAAAATAAACAGATCTTTAAATAGTGTTTATGTAAAAACACGGAACAAAAGGGGGTCGGCTCTTCAGGAAATCAAGTTAATGCTTTGTTGTAGATATAACTTTCATTCCACTCAAAAAAGACCTCAAAACGTACCTTTTCAGCTAATCATCTACCAGCTGAGGCTAATCTATGGGGGTTCAATATTCTGCAACAATGCACTTATAAATGATGGCTGTTTGTTGCATGTTAAAGTTAAAATATTAGTCCTATTTGACATGCTTTTGTAAAATTCTTCTTTCCAATTGTATTTATACAGCGCTATATGAGTAATTACCCATTTGTCTCAGGTGGTTTGTACAGTCCACACACACACACACACACACACACACACACACACACACACACACACACACACACACACACACACACACACACACACACACACACACACACACACACACACACACACACACACACACACACACACACACACACACACACACACACACACACACACACACACACACACACACACACACACACACACACCTTGTTTTCCTATGTGTACATAAATATTTGTATTATTTTATTTTACTCTAAGTACCTATGTTTATATAAATATATTTATATTCACAATGGCTTCATTCTGGTTTAGTATTAATCTTTGTTTTACATTATTTGCGATATTGGGCTATATAAATTCGTTTTTGATTTGGAACAAATATTACAATAATACATACTGTAGTGTAGACGATGCAAATGACAAGAATGATAATGTGAACGAACACGAATATATATTGAGGAAGTTCATTGCAAGCCTGACCCAGCTATTCATGTTTTGTTAATATAAATAAAGCTTTAAAGGAGACTCTTACAGCTGTTTCCCGGGGTTGATGGACCCCCTGTCGATCTCGCGGTCGAACTCTGAGCGGATGTCCTCCAGCGAGCCGTCGTCTCCGAACGCCCCCCACTCCGTGTTGATGCACATCCTGCCCTCGTCCCCCTCCACCAGGTCGATGTGGCGCAGCTCCTCCATGTAGCACGCGTTCGTTCCTGTTCCTGCAGAGGATGCACAGCTCAGGGTTAGAAATGTAATACCTTTGCCCCCCCCCCCATGTAGAGCTGAGCTTCTGGTGCTGTTAGCTGCTTTGGATATTTAGCTTTTGATTGAAACGGATCAATACAGACTGCCCCTAATTTACACGGTCATTTATTCCCACAGAAGATGCAGCACTGTTTATTTACCTAAATGAACCCTTAAAAAGTTATTTAAAGAAATGAAGCACAGCGCAAGTTCAACCAGGAAGACCGTCTTTACTCATTCATTTACTTTTTCCATGTTACTACTCTCTCTCCTCTCAATAAGTGATCAGGGGCGTCACTCCCCAGCTTAACCAATCACTTCGCTCTATTCTCACAAGCCTATCATAGCGCTCTGCTAAACCTTTTCAATCTGCTCTCCCCCCTCTGACAGCTGTCATTTCAGGTGACTCAACGCAACCCTCCTCCACCCCTTTCCACCTCCTGTCCCTCTGAATCCAGGGTCAAGCTAAGCCCCTCCCCTTCAGACCTACCCCAACTATCCATTCACCACCACCAGGGTCAAGCTAAGCCCCTCCCCTTCAGACCAACCCCAACTATCCATTCACCACCACCAGGGTCAAGCTAAGCCCCTCCCCTTCAGACCGAACCCAACTATCCATTCACCACCACCAGGATCAAGTTAAGCCACTCCCCTTCAGACCGACCCCAACTATCCATTCACCACCACCAGGGTCAAGCTAAGCCACTCCCCTTCAGACCGAACCCAACTATCCATTCACCACCACCAGGGTCAAGCTAAGCCACTCCCCTTCAGACCGAACCCAACTATCCATTCACCACCACCAGGGTCAAGCTAAGCCCCTCCCCTTCAGACCGAACCCAACTATCCATTCACCACCACCAGGGTCAAGCTAAGCCACTCCCCTTCAGACCGAACCCAACTATCCATTCACCACCACCAGGGTCAAGCTAAGCCACTCCCCTTCAGACCGAACCCAACTATCCATTCACCACCACCAGGGTCAAGCTAAGCCACTCCCCTTCAGACCGAACCCAACTATCCATTCACCAGCCCCCGGGGGCTAATAAATAAGAAATGACATATGATGATAGGTTAAAACATCCAGCAGCAGTATATAAAGTCATTACAATTAGCTCCACCTTTACCAGCTGTGATAAAAACACATTAATGCATCAATAATCATAACCCAGACCTTTAACATGTATGATTCTGAAATGGACAAATGCTTTTACTTTTGGTACTTAAAGTATATTTTGATGCTAATACTTTTAAGTAAGATTTTGAATGCAGCACTTTTACGTGAGTATTATGTACTCTTTACTACTGAGTACTTCTTCCCCCTCTGCTGTGTTTACCTATGATGATGCCGACTTCACAGCGCTGATCGTCAAATCCACACGTCATCATGGTGCCGGTCGTGTCATTAACCACCGCCATGATGTCCGCCTCATAGTCCTGGAAAACAACATCATCTTTAACTCAAAACCACATTTAAATATTAAAGTCATCGCTAAGCTTGTTCTAGGAAGCCATTTTAAAAAGTATCATTGTTTAAAAAAGCTTATTTACAACAAAAAATAAAGGTTTGGTTGGTGTATTTTGGAATTACATTAAGCTCCAAGATGTTTTGTTTTGTAAACCAATTGTTTAATTTAAAGGTCCCCTATTATCCTGTTCTTCATCAATATATCACAGGTCTCAGATATATACAGAACCTGTCTCTGATTGGCTGAAACACCAAACAGATCATTGCAGCATCCCATAATCCCCTCTGTTTCAGCCCTGTTTCCAAAGTGCTGATTCTCTGTCTGTTACTTTAGATGAAAATAAGGAGCCCCTCCCCACGCCCCTCTGAGAGACATTTGGTTACAAAGAACTCAATGGTGCTCTAGGAGGAGATTCAGGTGATAAGGTGGGGGGGGGGGGGGGGGGGGGGGGTTACCTTGGTTGCTGATTGGCTAATGGTTACACAAGCCAACACATCGTTATGACATCATGAAGTGGCCAAAATCTGATCAGCTCATTTTCAGACAGGTTTTTATAGAAATGGATCAGGACAAAAAGAGAGAGAATCTTTGTTCCTGAAACTTTCAGAGTCTCTTTCCACAGAGGGGACACATGTTGATGTAGAAGAGACATGAAGAAGAGGGGACACATGTTGATGTAGAAGAGACATGAAGAAGAGGGGACACATGTTGATGTAGAAGAGACATGAAGAAGAGGGGACACATGTTGATGTAGAAGAGACATGAAGAAGAGGGGACACATGTTGATGAAGAAGAGACATGAAGAAGAGGGGACACATGTTGATGTAGAAGAGACATGAAGAAGAGGGGACACATGCTGATGTAGAAGAGACATGAAGAAGAGGGGACACATGTTGATGTAGAAGAGACATGAAGAAGAGGGGACACATGCTGATGTAGAAGAGACATGAAGAAGAGGGGACACATGTTGATGTAGAAGAGACATGGAGAAGAGGGGACACATGTTGATGTAGAATAGACATGAAGAAGAGGGGACACATGTTGATGTAGAAGAGACATGAAGAAGAGGGGACACATGGTGATGTAGAAGAGACATGGAGAAGAGGGGACACATGTTGATGTAGAAGAGACATGAAGAAGAGGGGACACATGTTGATGTAGAAGAGACATGAAGAAGAGGGGACACATGTTGATGTAGAAGAGACATGAAGAAGAGGGGACACATGGTGATGTAGAAGAGACATGGAGAAGAGGGGACACATGTTGATGTAGAAGAGACATGAAGAAGAGGGGACACATGTTGATGTAGAAGAGACATGAAGAAGAGGGGACACATGGTGATGTAGAAGAGACATGGAGAAGAGGGGACACATGGTGATGTAGAAGAGACATGGAGAAGAGGGGACACATGTTGATGTAGAAGAGACATGAAGAAGAGGGGACACATGTTGATGTAGAAGAGACATGGAGAAGAGGGGACACGTGTTGATGTAGAAGAGACATGAAGAAGAGGGGACACGTGTTGATGTAGAAGAGACATGAAGAAGAGGGGACACGTGTTGATGTAGAAGAGACATGAAGAAGAGGGGACACATGTTGATGTAGAAGAGACATGAAGAAGAGGGGACACATGTTGATGTAGAAGAGACATGAAGAAGAGGGGACACATGTTGATGTAGAAGAGACATGAAGAAGAGGGGACACATGTTGATGTAGAAGAGACATGAAGAAGAGGGGACACATGTTGATGTAGAAGAGACATGAAGAAGAGGGGACACATGAAGAAGTGGATTTTGCATAATAGGTGACCTTTAAAGCAGAATGAGTTCTCACCCCTCGTTTCTTGATGGCCTTGTTCAGAAGCTGCACGACGTCCATGCCTTCTACTCCGCTGGCTTTAAACTTCTTTGTCCATGTCACTAAGACCGCCTATAAAACAAGAACAAGAGCAAACTTTAGTTACAGTCAGACGGGCTTGGCAAGTCCGAAAAGTCTCTCCATTGCTATTCAAACCACGACAACACTTTGCAACACATAAAACAACTTCCTAACGTTACTGAGATTACGATTCATTTAACATTTAGCTTTTCTGATAAAGCAAAAGTATTCAGAACACACTTTTTTCTTTAATATCCTATTTGTTTAATGTGCTATTTATTAATTGTGTTTGGCACTTTGGAAGCTTCATTGAAACCCTTAACAGTGAGGTTTGTCTACAGGCAATATTAAGGGCCTTCCGCGCTAACTTCTCTCAGTAAGCGTACTCATTGCTTATAAACTTCGTCTCCACAAGATCAAAGACACATCCTCCTGTGCACATTTCATCTTGGAACCTCAAGACTTGAAAGTCATATTCAATTATAAAACAAAAGAAAGTTTTATTGGTGTGTTTACCTCGTCTAGTTTGGTCTGGGCGCAGGGGAAGGAGAACGTAAATCCTACTGGGAGCTTTTTATCCTTGATGTTTTGCTTCTCCATGAAGTCGCCCAGGCAATCTGCGACATGGCCGAACAGCTGCGGACACAAAAGAGACGTTTAGGCTACAGAATAACAAGATAACAGACCAAAATATCTGACAAACAATGCATCAAACATTTTATAATTGCCCCATATGCAATCTCTGCTTCCTAGTAAGCCGGTTCGATTGCCAATTTATCTTGCTAATATCTCATCTACCACACAATCACTGTAATACATGCAAAACATAAATATGTTTATTGATCAGGATCTTTTTAAATTAGCTTCTGACCCTTTTTTATTCACATTCATTCAACCAGAACTAATGCAAACAGACATACATTCAACTTTCATATATGTTATAATAGTTTAATTTAAACCAGTTTAGGGAGGTGCTTAACACCATGACACTGAGATCTTTTAAATATTTGATGAGTCCCATTTAAATAAATCACGTTAGTTACCAAAAGCACTGTAAATGACAGTCTCTAATACTCATGAATAACACCAAAACTGATCTAAAATAACTATATTAGGGCGTGAGCATTTGACTGCATTGTTCTTCATAAGTGTAAAGTATATTGTGTCCCATTTGAGATCAGGACAAATCTTCAAAGTACACGTGGAGCCATAAAAGCCTTATTATAAAAGTTCAGATTCAACAAATAAAGCTGATTTTGAAAGCCTAACATTCTCCGGCAGTTTAATGTGTAAACACTTAACACTCACATTACTGTATTAATAACTTGACACTAGTATTGAGAAAACAACTACACTTCTTTTGCGAGTTTCACTGCATTGAAGTCGACTTTCGGTTCATATTTTTAATGTATATATATTCCACCAGATCCCTCTCAAACCTCCTTGTTAACAAACGTGTTCATAAAGCACATAACATGTTTTGGCAGCTGTCCTCCTGACATTATATCAAACAGCATCTGTCCCTCTCTCCCTGTGTGTTTGAGTCTGGCTCTGAAACAGTCTCTGGTGTTTTAGTGATCGAGTTACTTCACGACTGCCAGCTGTTCTCCTCAGTTTCAGTGTGGGTCAGCAGTGTGTGTGTGTGTGTGTGTGTGTGTGTGTGTGTGTGTGTGTGTGTGTGTGTGTGTGTGTGTGTGTGTGTGTGTGTGTGTGTGTGTGTGTGTGTGTGTGTGTGTGTGTGTGTGTGTGTGTGTGTGTGTGTGTGTGTGTGTGTGTGTGTGTGTGTGTGTGAGGATCAATTACACACATTGTTCCTCAACCTGACCTTGAATACCGCTGGGCTCTGTATGACGGCAAACTAAAACAGTGCATACTTTGAGGTGACCTCAGTCTGACCTCCGTGTGTTTGTGGCTGATGAGGATTAACACATGTGGACTGATTACAGATTCTAGTCTAGTTTGTGTAAAACCATGAGTAAAAAGAAGTAACTCAGACTGCTGAACCCCTATGTTTCAAGTATATTCAAGGTATAATTAGATCAAACTTTATTAATCCTGACAGAAATCCCTTTGCAGCATTAAGGAGAGAAACACACACACTTAGACAGTTTTAGGGTTAAACATTGTATTTAACTGAGTTCTGTTTTTGCGAATATGAACTTTTTATTGCTAGTAGAAATTATGTATTGCTAATTTTGTTATTTTGTGCGTTTAATGTGATAAATGTATTTCGGATAATATTTCATGCTATAAAGCCTTTGACTTTAGAGAAGGAGGGAAAACAGAGAAGGAGAGAGAGGAAGGGTGAGAGAAAAAGAGGTAAAGAGACAGTGTGAGGGGAGAGAAAGAGGTTGAAAGACAGATGGGGAGAGAGATAATACCTCATTCACACCAACGCAACTCCGGTTCAAGCTCCCTGCTAGAGCTTTTCAGGTTCAGAACCGGTTCTTCGGTTCAGCTCCGGCTCTTTTCACACCGCCCAGAGTCCGACTGGTGCTGCGTCATCGTTTGCGTCATGACGTTGCGTGCCTGCTTCATAAAGCCAAACCGCGCGGAAACCCCTCACAGCTCACACCGACAACAACAACAATGGCCGATTGTGCTCCAGCTTCCTCTGTACCTCTTCGGAAGACCAGATTCCCAGTAGGTAGCTGGTCTCTTCAGTGGACCACTGCTGCTTGTTAAGTTTCTCCATCGTTGTGTACAAACTGGATAAAACGCGGGCTTTCTGTTGTAGTTCAGGAGTTGATCCCGCCCCTGCCCCTTCCCCCGCCTCGACGTAAGCGTGACGTATGCGGTGCTTTTGCTCTAGCCGGAAAACATTTTGGTGCTTGAAACGAACCGGATTCCGGAGCTAAGAGGCTGCTCCGCTGCGGTGTGAACAGGAAAACCCGGTGCTTTTCAAGCTCCAGCTCCGAACCGGCCCTGAAACACCGTTGGTGTGAATGAGGTATTAAGGGAGCAGGAGGGGGAGAGAGAGGAGAGTAAGAAGGCAAAGAGGGAGAGAAAGACTGGGGAAGAGATGAGGGTGGGGGGAGGGAGAGAAAGGAAAGGAGAGAGAGCTGGGGGAGGAAGATATAATATGTATAGTGTTTACCCGCGTCCCGTTGCCGTGGATGATGTCATCAGGAGTCTCGTACACCTGGCTCTCCATCTGCACCGGCTGCTTCTTGTCCTGAGTCACTTTGACCCTCAGGATCCGGAAGTTAGAGCCTCCGAGATCCAGAGCGATGAAGTCCCCCTTCTCTGTGGAAATAAAAACACAGATGAACGTTATATTTATATTTATATATATATAATATTTATACCGGCAACACATATATATATATTTGTTGTATTTATCTCCTTAAAAGTAATCTCTAAACCCAAGGCACACACTGTATATGATGTGTTAGCAGGTTAGATAACACATCATGTCATTTTGCTGGACATTTATTTAGAAAGGCATGACAGAACGTGCGCCTCGTGTGGCTGAAACTAAAACTACAACAACAAACACAAAGAGGACAGCATGCACCGCTGGGCATTTGTTGCATTACACTGCAAGAAGGAAGTCAGTCGAAGCAGAACATGTGTCCTTTGTGCTTTAAACTGCACTCCCAGCACATAGAAAGATGTTATCAAGCATTCTTTTATTAACAATGGCATGACACTCAATGTTTTGTTTGGTTCATTTGTCATTTGTGACTCTTTACATGCCACTAGAGCAGGGATGGGCAACGTGGATGGTGGTGGGGGCCACGTAATGTATGTACTGGCCACCAGGGGGCCGCAGATTCACTTGGAACACACACACACACAGATTCCATATATTGTATGTAATTATTAACAAATATACTAAGTCTGACATCTTCATTGACATGTTACAATCTTTCAGGGAACATCCTCTAATAAGCTCACGAAACAAATATCAGTTCACAGAAATGTTATTTAATTTTTACAAGTGGCATGTTTGTATTGAACAGGTTATTTAACAGAGGAATAAAACTATTTTAAACTATTGGAAAGCACGGAAAATGTGTGTGCATCAAGATTAACCATTAAGATGACCTAAACATGAAGTCATGAACACTACCCAGACATTAGTTGTCTCACTTGAACCTAAGACACTTGTAGCCTCTGCTGACGCACAATAAGGGGAATGTCCACACAGACTGTCAACTCTCTGCTGTTCCTCAGCGCCGCTCCCCCTCTCTCCCGCTGAAATTATGAATGTAAGGCGTATAGTAATCATAGATAACACGGCAGGGTCCGTGACAGTTTGTTTTCACTTGTGACATATTTTCATTACCATTATTTTCAAACTACTGATCTACAGGCTCTTAAATGTTATTTATTTGTAAGTAAAAATAACAAGATTATCATATCCGTATATATATATATTGCAGAAACTCTTTTATACAGTTTTGATGGAATTACAATGATTAATTTAGCTTTCAGGCACTTATCTGACACTGATCTACAGAGGGGTTGAGTTTCTTGCAAAAGGACACTGCAGCACAACACGTGATAGAAGGTGTGTGTGTGTGTGTGTGTGTGTGTGTGTGTGTGTGTGTGTGTGTGTGTGTGTGTGTGTGTGTGTGTGTGTGTGTGTGTGTGTGTGTGTGTGTGTGTGTGTGTGTGTGTGTGTGTGTGTGTGTGTGTGTGTGTGTGTGTGTGTGTGTGTGTGTGTGTGTGTGTGTTGCAGGGATCAGACCTTACTAGCAAACATCCAGGACATCCTGCCTCTCAACCAAACAATGTTCTCATGACTGTAGTGTTCGCTGCATTGTTGCTATTTATGACCCTGACCTGAGGGGAATGAGATGTGAGCGCCTGACATATAGAAGTGTTCCTGATTATCTGCAGAGCGTGTGCATAACCTCTGTCCTGCTGTAACCTCCGTGCTAAGTATATATATATATATATATATATATATACAAGTTGGCTCTCAGTGTGTATCCAGCTAGTTTCATAATGAAGCCCATAAAGCCTGGTGTTAACACAGAGAGGAGAAGGCGGTGTCTTGTTAGTCATTAACTACAACTGGAGCCATGGGTAAATGTTTATTTATGATGTGTATATCTAACAGATATATTTCAGAATAACAGTATGACTAATGAAATATATTTAAAACTATTCAAATACTTATATAATCTAGTATTTATTTAATTATGTTTTGATAACGGACCCCTTTTTGTGAATGGGTGTCTGACAGAGGTGGGAAGTAACTAAGTACTGTTCTTAAGTACAATTTAGAGGTACTTGTACTTTACTTGAGCATTCCCATTTTATGTATACTATAACTATAGCATAAACTAAGTATAAACATACAAAATGCATAGAGAAGTGTTGCATATATATATATATAGCATGTATTGTTATTTTACTGATAATAATAATAATGGGGATGTCACTGTTTTGCAAAGTTGTAAAAATAAGAGGACAAATCCAATCACATAAAAGAATAATAAATACTAAAACTACTTAAACTGTTGCTGTTTGTGTGTCTCTGTTGCAGAGGTCTAAAGTAACTAAGTACATTTACTCAAGTACTGAACTTAAGTACAATGTTGAGGTACTTGTACTTTACTTGACTATTTCCATTTTATGCTACTTCATACTTCTACTCCACTACAGTTCAGAGGTAAATGGTGTACTTTTCCTCCACTACATGTATTTAATACCTTTAGTTACTTCACAGATCTGGATGAATGATGTGAAATATAATCAAGTGTTAAATCAGACTTTAGTTCCACCTGGAGTAAATTCACAAGCTACCCTGCAGTATACAAAGTCATTCAAACTAGCTGCACCTTTACCAGCTTTGAGAACACTTTAATGATCAATCATTATAAAACATATCATATATATTATTCTGAAATGGACCAATCTGCACAATGACTACTTTTACTGTCACTACTTTAACTATATTTTGATGAGAATACTTTTCTACTTTTTGAATGCAGGACTTTTACTGTAACAGAGTATTCCTACACTCTGGTACTTCTACTTTTACTCAAGTACAAGATCTGAGTACTTCTACTTTTACTCAAGAACAAGATCTGAGTACTTCTACTTTTACTCAAGTACAAGATCTGAGTACTTCTACTTTTACTCAAGTACAAGATCTGAGTACTTCTACTTTTACTCAAGAACAAGATCTGAGTACTTCTACTTTTACTCAAGTACAAGATCTGAGTACTTCTACTTTTACTCAAGTACAAGATCCGAGTACTTCTACTTTTACTCAAGTACAATATCTGAGTACTTCTCCCACCTCTGGTGCGTGAGATAGATGGCGAAAGGCCTACATCTTTCCAAACTCATTATTAGGTGTATTATTTTATAGTAAATCAAATAATTAGGCCCGTTGTTTTAGGTATTTTGGGTGCCATAGTTTTGACGGTTGCCTGATCACAATATATGTCAATTTTGGATTTACTAGTTCTCTGAAAAGTCTACTACAGTATGAAAGACGATGCACAAGCACAGATAAAGTTATTTAAGGATATATTATAATAAGCCTGCAGAAAGTCAGAAGTGTAGTGGTGGATTTATTGAGGTAGTTTCATAATTAAGCTAATGGTGTTGAACTAACAGACACTGGAGAAAGCGGTTGTCAAAGTATTTGTATTATATATTTTGTATTTAGTCTCGTCAGTCAGAAGCTACGGTATGAAAAACTCAGGATCCACAAGAAAAGCTTAAGATGTTTGGGGATCTAATATAGAAATGCTGTCAGAAATGTAATCCTGGACTTAAATCTGCCAGCAAACACGGGTTTACTCAAGAGACATGATTACAAGACATCTTAGCGGGAGCAGCTGAAGATGGACGCACACTAAGATCCAAAAAGGCGTCTTTGTTTTTGAAGATTTATCTCCTCGCACTCGGCACAAAATCCAAACAATGGAAACACACACTGGACTACAAAGCCTCGTCTGTTGTCCCGTGATGAGCCTGCCCTTTAGTATTGATTCTCTCTGGCTTAATATTGAACTTTAAGAGCAGTCTCTTCTGTAGAGTGGCTGACGTTACTGCCTCTTAGCCCATATACTCTGTGGGTGAAGTTAGTTGCAGCTCGTAATAGAACCAGGCTATGCCGAATGTTGAAGTTTGATTATAACACTGAATTGTTGCGTTCTAAGCCAAGAAATATCAGTTGACTTGCTCTTGCAGAGTATGTGCTCGGGTCAGATATCACCAATGGATGTAAACCAATATTACTTTGCAGCCTGACACCAATCAACAGATGATGACAGAAGGAATCCCTCAGTTTAAATATAAGGTGGTGCAGGAATGAGTCTCAGAACATGGTAATGAGTTGGCATGTTAGTCCTTCAGGTTCACTTGTCTTCAGGTCGATGGATTTCTTTCGTGTTTTTTTCTGTAAGAAGCGTGCTATTAATGCCTGAAGAAAGATCTGTTGTTAATTCAAGCTGAAGAGACTTTAATGATTTGTTCTACACGATGAAATGCGTTAGTAAATAAATACCCAACTTTAACGTGTCTTAAAAGGCGGCGGTTGCTAAAGAGTGAGTAAATGAAACGACTAAACGCCATCACGCTCAACATTAGGCGCGTTCACACCGGAGTACTTTTACCCGTACTTTTCGCGTTTAGTTCCGTTAGTGCCTGGAATTTTGCGTTCACACCAAAAAGAGAACTTAGTTCAGAGAACTTTTACCCCCATTTTTAGTGCCTGCTAGAGAGGTGGTACTATCCTGGGGAGAAAAAAGTACCAATTTCGATTGGCTGGGCGAATTGCAAACCACGCCCCGTAAAACTCTGAAAAGTTTTGTGAAGCCACCATTGTATTTGCTGGCATTAGCATTATTAGCATTAGCATTAGCCCCGCGCACCAACGGAGAGAGAATAACTTATGGCAACACAAAAGAAAACATGGGAGCGGTGGAGAGATGAGGAGGTGTCGGCGTTCTGGCGATTTACTCGGAAGGCTTCAGTAGAAGCTGCTGGGAGTCCCAGCAGCTTCTACTGAAGCCAGTCCCCAACTCCGGGGACTTCCGGCCGGGGACTTCGGGTGGCAGTATACGCCGTGAAGTGGTTTGCGGCCTGCCAGTAAACCCAAAGCAGAAGAAGAAGAAGTGACGTCAGCGGCTTCATTTGCGTAATCTTCCCTCAGGGAACATATTACGGTGTGAACGCGATCTGTACTTAGTTCCATGGGGGTACTAAGTGCTGGGCACTAAGTGCTGGGCACTAAGTGCGGCAAAGTACTTGGTGTGAAAGCGGCTAAGAGCTCCCTTTAGCTTAGCGGTGGTGATGTGAAGTCTTTTGTGAAGTCTTTTTGATTCTGAAAAGTTGCATTTGCGCTTAAAAAGAAAAAAAATAACAAATCTGAAGGTGACTCTTCTGTCACCTATGGCAGAGGTAAAAAACAATATTTAGACCAATAAAAAAGCTATTTAGTGTTTGACAGTTCTCCATGATACTGAGTAAACTCCATCCTCTGAAACCCCCTGTGGTTGAAAGCTAGTAAGCCAGCTTTTTAAAGTTCTTTTTTATTGTGTCAAACCCCCTTGTTGATACTGTTTATGATGCGATTCTTCAGTATCATCCATCAGTTTTTGATTGCCTTGTTTTTACCTTGTTTTTCACCTATTCTGCTCATGAAAACATCAGATCATAGCCTCTTCTTACAGACTTTTCACCATAAAACATGAACTCGGTAACATTAAAGCAAGATTTATCCCACAAAAAAGTGCCTTTTCTACATTTGCATCGCTATAACTGATCCTTTTACTGAATAGAAGAGAATCCTGTATTGTCATTATACAGCTACAATGAGATGAGTAGAGCTACTCCGTTTTTTAAGGTGCCATCAAAAAAACAAGTCCAACATTCAGGAGAAGACAACATACATCAGGAATATATCGGTTTAAGTAAAATGTTTAATTCGATTGTGAAATGACATCTTCAGAGATAAGCCATGACTTAATCGACTAATTCTCCTCTCAGACACGTAGAAAGTCTTTCCAGAAGGATCAGATTAACTTTTACAAAAAAGTATCTTGTTCTTTTTGCTACGTCATTCCCTATCATGTCTGCTATAATCACGCTTTGTAATATGTATTAATTTGAACAGTTTGCATGGCTTCAACTCTGCCCTTTGCCTGATCGCTCTGACCTCATGTAGTTGTTGAATCCTGAGGCTATTTACACCGTGAGAGCAGGCACTCGATGTTATTTCTGTGTACAGGCGTTGTTTACCTTCAGGGACAAACCATGCATGGCAGTAAACAGATGAGGACTTTGAAGAGCGAGATACTTGACTTTGACCAATGTGAATTTTTAAGAGCTGTGCTGACGGGCTGGTTTCATGGAGGACATTTAGTACATCTAGTAGAGTTCATTTTGTATTTCTTGTTGGTTTTCCTCATACATAACATTATAGTCTCCTATTGGGGGTTGTTCTTCAAATGATACTGACATTAAATTAAGCATTTGTTTCCCTTAAACTTTATTGCACTATTAAAATATAATGGCATGACCATTTTCAGGCTAACATACGCATGTTTTTGTCTTTCCATTTGTATTATTCATGATGAATATGAAGTATATATGAACAAATATGAGGTTCATTGTAATGGAGAAGGGGTAGTAGTTCACATAATTGTGTACCTTCTTTCTATAACTTTTTGGACATGTATTTTGATTTTATTTTGCTTTTTTTATACTTATTCGTTGTTTGAAAACATACAAATAATCTCAATTTAATTAGTCAATAACTATATTAACTCAAAAATGTTATCATAGCTATTCATACCATCTTTAAGGCAGATTTGACTTTGAAGGGCATCACCCCAAACCCTTATATCTTATCCTTTTCATAAATTGACTATGTACGTTGCCACATTTTTACTTTAATAAATATGTATATCTTTCATCGACAGGCTTTGTTGGCAATATGATAGACTCCCCATCTCATACTGATAACAGTCATATTTTAATTATAACCTCTGCTTCTAATTATATTAAAGTTATATTAAATAACACTGCCACTTTATTTTACTGTGAGCTTTAATCAGGATATCCCCTACAGGTAAAGCTAATTTCTTACACGTTCAAGTTGCCATCCTTAATTTAACAGAATAAACTAAGCATAAAACTAATGTAATACAATTAGTTTTAATACCTGTCTGGCAGAAGCATTAGCAGAGAACAGGCTGACGCTGTGAATGAATCATATTTGATGGGTTACAGACGCTCTCGGATAAATAAAACGCTCTGCCTCTGTGAGTGTTCGCTGCTGGTTATGAGTTGAATACAGAGTGAGTTCAGGCTGTTTGAGCGGTTTTACCACGAGGCCTAAAACTATAGTGATGTAGTTCAGATCCAGAGACACAAAGAGGCTGCAGACACACAACAGAGCGACCATTTCCCCACATCAGCACATTGTTTATAGGCTTCAACACGCGTACAGTACAGAGAGACTGAACATAACACAACAGAGCAGAGGTGGGAGAAGTACTCTGATCCTGTACCTGAGTAAAAGTAGAAGTACTCAGATCTTGTACTTGAGTAAAAGTAGAAGTACCAGAGTGTAGGAATACTCTGTTACAGTAAAAGTCCTGCATTCAAAATGTTCCTCAAGTAAAAGTAGAAAAGTATTAGCATCAAAATATAGTTAAAGTAGTGACAGTAAAAGTAGTCATTGAGCAGATTGGTCCGTTTCAGAATAATATATATGATATGTTTTATAATGATTGATCATGAAAGTGTTCTCAAAGCTGGTAAAGGAGCAGCTAGTTGTAATGACTTTGTATACTGCAGGGTAGCTTGTGGATTTACTCCAGGTGGAACTAAAGTCTGATTTAACACTTGATTATAATTCACATCATTCATCCACATCTGTAAAGTAACTAAAGGTATTAAATACACGTAGTGGAGTAGAAGTATGAAGTAGCATTAAATGGAAATACTCAATACCTCAAAATTGTACTTAAGTTCAGTACTTGAGTAAATGTACTTAGTTACTTTAGACCTCTGCAACAGACACACAAACAGCAACAGTTTATGTAGTATTACTGTAGTATTAATTATGCTTTAATGTGAATTGTTTTCTCCTCTTAATGTTTACAACTTGTGTGCAAAATAGTGACATCCCCATTATTATTATTATTATCAGTAAAATAGCCATAAATACTATGAATATGCAACACTTCTCTAATGCATGTTTATCCTTTGTTTATAGTCATTTGGTTAATTAAAGTATTTTCTAACTTATTTTTTGTTTTTTAAATAGTGTATTATTAAGATACTAGAAATAAACCAGTATCTATTTGCAAATAGTACAATTTGAATTCAAGACTTTAATATCTTCTTAAAACAATACAGTATTACTTTAATACTTGTGTTTCTTACTACACGTATATGAAACTTGTATTGTTCCCTTGTCATCTTGGTGTATTCAATTTCAACACTATTTGCTCACGTTAAATATTGAAACACAATAGTTTTTTTTTTACTTCGTACACGTTGTTTGCTGAATCAACAGAGCGATCCTGCCAAGAAACACATCAGAGTTTCCTTCAGCTGCAGGACACCAGGAAGTGATGTTCAATATTTAACTAACGTTTAACTTCTAGTTTAATATTACAAAGAGAACATGACCTAGAATAGTTAGCGGCCTCAGATCAAGTTCTTTTTACTCTAATTTGTCAACGTTTCTTCTTTGAGATGCACAATTTAGTACAACTTATTATCCTACATTTTCCCCTCAGGTCATTATTTTAAATACATTGCAACCAGAACAAATATGGAACTGATCTTGGCCCTTTTTCCACCAAAGCATTTTAAGGATTAAACCATTTTAGTCCCGTTGTTTTTGAGATAATCCATCTTTGTCTTTAGATTATTTTGAGCATCATACGAGAATTATTTTTCTGTATGTGTGCGTGTTATTCATTCAAAGATGTTATTGTCATATGCACATAAGCTACAGTGTAGAAATGGCAATGAAATTCTTCTGACCTGAGCTCCTCCAACAATGCAACATATATAATAAAATACATTGAATTAAAAAAATGAAATGAATAAAATGAATTAATAAAATAAATATGTGATGTGTTTGTGTACCTGATCCGTCAGGGATGGAGCGTACGAAGGTGGGCAGCATCTTCACGGTGGCGGTGGGGCTGGTGTCCCGGCCGAGCCCGTTCTCCATCTCCCTCCTGAACCGGTTCATGATGTCCTTCACCGTGTCATCGGAGAACCGCATGGAGTACAGGTACTTATCAATCTGAGGAACAAACACAGGGGGTCAGGGAGGACTCAGATTACCGTATTGACCCGATTATAAAACGACCCTGATTATAAGACGACCCCTCTTTTTCAGATTTTTTTTCTAGGAACAAAAACCTGTGTTATTTTCGGGTCAGTACGGTACTTTCTTAATTTTTTATCCTTCCTTCTGTCCTTAATTTTGCTATCTTTCTAAATGTTTTTATGTCTGAGTAAGGGGTTATTTCATCTAATTGTCAAAAATCATATGGATGGTTCTGTGCTTTGTTCTTCGCAAGAAAAAAATAAAATAATAATCACTTCTTGTTTAAATTTATAGCAAAAGTTTATCTGCTTAAAATTGTTTTTTTAAAAGATATTTTTGGGCTACCACCAGTGCCTTTATTGAAGTAAAAGATCGATAACACGCGGCCCAAACAGGATTCGAACCGGCTCCTGCGCACAGGGACCCAAACATTTGGGCTGCTTGCTCTACAAAGGCAGCCTATTTGTAAAAAGTTGATACCTCCTGGGGTCCTTTTATAATATAGAAATATGCCTCAAATACAACATATACACAATCCACGTAACACCCCCAAGCTGCCATACACACACAGAAATCTCTCAACAACAACAATGATGAAGTGACTTTACTTTAGCTTCCCCTAAAGATGTTAACTACAGCTGACCATTTAAACACTACCTTTTTTACATTCGTCATCATGATATAAACAATAGCGCACAGCGAGGTGACCTGACGTAGAAAACAGTGGACCTACCACATCATACATTATCTCCCGGGTATAGGAACATCTCATACTGTGTTGCATCTTACTTAACTAATTGCATGAGAGATATGTTGGGTTGAGTGGTAGAAAAAAAAACAATAGATTGATTCACTTTAAACAAATTAGCACACGAGGAAAACCAGGACACTGATGTAGAAACATGTTAACATGAGACAAAAGAGGCTAAATTAAATAAAACACAAGATGTTCGGTATGTCTTAAAGTGGACCTATCATGCTATATTATAATAATGTAGTGTAGGACCATACCTATATAAGGCATATTTATACTTTTTTTTCCTTCAAAATACCAAACAGATCATGCATTTTAGCCATGCCTCATTTCGCTCAATTTGCACTTTTTTACCCCTGTTTTAGCAAGGGCAGATTCAGTGAGAACAGCACCATCTACAGGCCTGGCATATGTACTACAGCGTCTCCAGCGCTTTCGAACGGCAATGGCCGTGGCTGTCTCCTCCTGATTGGTGGAGTTGGCCCAATAGCCGTAGCGCCACCGTCCTGACGTCAGGACAGTGTTCAAATCTGGATCAGTTTTTATCAGATCCGTTGCAGCCCCTTTTTTAGAGATTTGGGTATGGAGGAAAATAGAGAGGGTTGTGTTTTCTGACACTTGGTGGGTTCCCTGGAACACCGGGGACACATATTCATGTATAAAAGATGTACAAAAGTGCATTTTGCATGATAGGTCCCCTTTAAGGTGTAATAAAGACACATACTTTGTTTAAAATAGCAGCATTGCATGTGGTTAAATTGCAGTTTACCGTAAGCATCTAATTAATGAAAGGTTTCTTAGGGGGGGATTTGCCCTGCACAACCACTGCTGTTGTTCTATAATCACACACTGCATGCCATCAGGCAGAGATCCGTTCTGTGCCAAAACCACGCTCCACACATTCTCTTCTCATCAGGCTCCTCATGGTGGCATTGCTTTCATTAAGCCTCTGAAAACAACCAATGCAATGTGACGTTTGAAGACTTGTGAAGACAGTATTTGCAGGAGCTTGTGGGAGACAAATCCTGTCGCTGTCAAGCTTGTGAGGCTGTATCTCAAGACAGATATTTGGACAGATACCATCGTTTGGTAGAGGATTGTGTAGACATGGGAGAAAGAGGAGGATATGGGGGTTTGACATACCCAGGATGTTGCGGTTTAATGGCATGTCACTGTGACTTCCCTAAAGGAGCTCCATTTTCTCATCCATGTCTATGTTTTCCCCTTCTTTGACTGCTAATTTTCTTTCATTGAAAAGACAGTATCACATCAATCCTGCATCTGCTTCTTCCAACATGTAATCAGAGCTGTATGATTCCCATAGCGTGAGTGCCATGTTATTAAAGCAGCAGTATTACATCAAGTGTAATTGTTTCATTGCACCCTACATTTAGCCTGGGGTATGTATGTTCTCGTGATACTTTGGAACAGTGCTTGGCGGCTCAACATGACTTTGTAAAGAAGAGTAGCATGGGTTAAAATATAAGTATATTTAAATAAGATGACCATTACCTCAGACAGGGAGGTTATGTTTTGGCTCAGTTTTTCTCTCATCAGCTACTGGCCCAGTTCTTATAAAGTTCTTATAAGGGAGAAGCATTAAGGAAAGGCCAAGGATGAACTGATTACATTTTGGAGCAAATCCAAATCATATTTTCTTTAATATATGTTTTATGGTCGTCTGTCGTCCGTCTGTCCATCCCATTCTGAATTCACAATATCTCATAACGACCTCTTTTCACCCTCTGTCTGAAACCAGAGCCCAGTCTGCTCTGATTGGTTAGCTGGCCGGCTCTGTTGTGATTGGTCAACCACTTAGAGATGTCCCGCCCCTTAGCCTATCATGTACAATGTGTTGGAGCGCTAGCCAATAGAAGGGCGAGTTTTACATAGTGATGTCATTATGTTAGGGAAGTAAACAAAGGAGTCCGATGGAGGTGTTTCAGGCAGGGGGGAGGAAACACAGGGATTTTAGCCTTTGCAGACCATTTACATGCACTAAAACCTATATAACACACTACAGGAAAGAGAAAACTACACAAGCATAATGGGCCCCTTTGAGGATAAACTGATTAGATATTGGGGGGGGGGTCAAAGATCTCTGTGACCTCAGGAACGCTCCTTTGTGGTGAAAGTGAAATGTCAGGAACAAATGAAGGGAATTTTTTCATAATTGGTTTAAAAACATCCAATTTATCTCGACATGACCTGATAAGGATCTGGTGTTCATGGTCAAGGTCACTGTGACCCGGTCACTCATGAAAAATGTTCTTGATCAAGAAGTAGTTCAATGAATTATGACAGTTTCAGTGTTTAAAAGGTGATGACATTTTGTTACGGCATGGTTGTAAATTGAGACGTTATTGGTTGGCAGCGGCCCGAAACAGTTATTCTAATTTTCTGTACTTTTTCCACACTATAGCGGACAGAAAGCCAATCAAGCTTCTGCTAAACTACTTCTTTATATGCAGCGTACCACATATTCATCGTTAGCTTTTATCCTTTGAAGCATCTGTTGTGGAGATCCAGCACTCACACAACAGGAAAGAATGAAACAGAGAGGAATCAATAAAACACAAACACAGATATAGCTGATAAGTAATTATTATTTAGTTGTTGCAACAAACAAACAATAATGGGAAGTACATCACCTGCTGCCACAGCAGCCAATTGTGGAAATGCCCCCAAGAACAGAAGAAATACAGGGCTAGATATACTTTTCTAAATGACACACGAACATGTTCCCCAAACATGTTTAACGCACACACATTTTATCATGCAGCCTACCACACAAATGTCACCTACTTCTGCAGAGGATCGTGCGTCTACTGCACTGTGACATCACGCATTATAGATCTCCCACTCAGCCTCCTTTTCATCCCCACCATCCCCCACTCCCTGAGAACATGTCACCCGTCTGTCATCCAATGCATGTCACTTTCTGTAAATGAGGCGTTATTTCAGCTCAGATTTCACGAGCCGATGAGTTTGTCGTCTTTGCCAAAGGTAATAAGAGAGTGTGTGAGATAACAGACAAAAGAGGGGTTGAGAAAGGGAGTGAAATAGTAAAGGCTCAGGCCCCTCGAACCGCATACCTCATGCTTACGTCGGAGGGGGGCGAGATTAACCTGAGCTAACAGTTTATGGCGTGTACGGCAAATACAAGTTGTAAGTAGCGCTAAGCAAAGTGACTAGAACGCAACCACACACTTATAGAAAAAACACACTTTATAAAGTCAGGCAACACTAACCAGGCTTCGTGTGATTCTGTTTATTTGTAGCCTACCTTACTTTGACCATCCGTTTGCTGTTATTGATCATTGTGGAGAGTAGACGTTTTGTTTTGTATTATAGCAGCTATCGGATGGAATCAATAATACATGGGCTGCACAGGTTGCCATGTCCGACTATCACAAGTAGAATCATAATGAAAAATACGCCGGTAAAATGTGCCTGTAGAAAACGGCTCATGCCACAATAGGATAGCAACAAGTAGTCAAGATAGTCAGTTTAGCTTCGGTTGCTATGCTAACATCAACCATTTTATACCAGAGAAACTTTCATAACAGCGTTGTGTGATGCCAAACAGCGTCAATTCAGACTGAAACACATTCACTTATGGGGTGGGGGGGGATATGTATCAGCTGCTTGTGTGACAGTCAGACAGTGCAGACTGAAGACTTTACAGCGGTCGGTAAATGTCGCTGAAACACATTAATAAACAATGAACCACGGCACTCTGGAGAAAAGTACAAGGTTGGAGAAGTAGTTATTTAATTTAGTCTGGCTTCGTATGATTAAAAGTAACACGAATCACGATCATCGACCCGACGCAGTCCCCCATTATTATTGTTGTTGTTGTTGTAAGCGCCGTTGGGGAGAAAATCAGCTACGTAAACGGTGACGTCATGACGCAGCAGCGGCAGCACCAGTCGGGCTCTGGGCGTTGTGAACAACGGGGGCTGAAAAGAAAAACCGGTTCTGAACCAGAAGAGCGCAAGCACGGAGCTAGAACGGGATCTGCGTTGGCATGAAAGGGGCATGAGAGGATACATGAGCCAAAAAGGGAGGAGGAGATCTTCGAGCTCACGCCTTTTTTTCTTCCTCAAAGACACCTGTCTGCTTCCCCCAGCAACTGACGCTCCGGAAACAATTACTGGAGGGTCTGTGAGCAGCCTCATCAATACGGACACTCACTACAGCCCTTTTCTCAAGGACATTCATGTCAAACACAGCTAGAGCAAATTCAAATTACACTTCTTCACAATCTTAGGTCACGGGCTCCTCCAACAGTGCAACACAATAAAACAGATAGAATAGTTAAAATAATGCAAGTAAATACAAATAAAATAGGATAACAGCTCTGCACTCCAACACACACACAACAGAAGCCTTACACACAGTTTACACACCTTTTTGAGTTGATCATCCTTCAACTCGGTGAAGTAGTAGGCCAGAAGCTGAGCGGCTATCATCCTGCCTGGAGCTGTCACACACACTACGAGGTGTTTTCAGAGTAAAAGGGTTTCTGTTTCCCCCCCTCGCTGATCCCTCTGTATCCTGAACAGAGGAAGAAGAAGCAGGCCTGAAGCTGAGCTGGCAAGGTTAAAGAGAAAAAGTCTGGTGAAACAGCACTGTGGCCGTGCCTGCTAGTCTGCGACGGGCACACACACTCACACACAAACACACATAAAACCCCACAAACACACAAGGCTGGTCTGAGCGTGTCTCCTCCCTCTGATCTGCTAGCTCCCTGTTAGCTCTGGGGAGATGCAGCAGAAACACAGGAATGGTGCTTTTGCTTTGCCCTGCCCCCACCGACACGCCTGATTGGCCGAGCTGAGGGAGAGGAAAGAGGGGAGGGATGGGTGAGAGAGGAGGGGGCTTCTCCTACACAGCAATGTGGGAAAGAGAGGAGGGGGTGGGCAGAAAGCAGAAAGCTGCATGATTCTTCCTCTCTCTCTCCTCCTCCCTGCTGCTCCCAGTCAGTTTTTTCGTCGTGCACGTTGCCACGGCACCCAGAGGTGTACGTGCAGAGGAGCGAGGCGACCACACGATGATGTCATCATCCCGCTCCCTGCATCAGATGAAGGGCATCAGATAGAGCTGCAGCAGCATCTCTTAACAGCTCCACACACTCTCTCAGGATGACCGTTTGTTATCTGCTGCAACACTCAGCTCCCCCTCTGCAGCCAAACACATGTTCCCTTCAACGATTGCTGACATTACATTACATTCATCTGATGCTTTTGTCCAAAGCAACTTACAATAATGCAATCAACCATGAAGAGAATATCTCAGAAAGTGAGAATCCTGCAGGTGCATTTGCTCTCCATAAGCTGAACTACAGTCAGTGCTACACACAGAACAGAGGCGTTTTTTATTGTTGTATTTTTCGCCAAAGTTCGGTTGAAACAGGTGGATTTTCAAGATATCGATTAATAAAATGTTATTATATTGAAATGATCTATAGTGTTTTGTATTGTGTCTTTAGTTTCGACGTGTATTAAACTGTCTTTACCTCTACAACCACTGTATTCAGAAAATCTAAATAAACTACGTTATAGTTTTTATTCCTATTAAAACTGTTCATGCTATATACACTTTGGCTTTTCCTATCTGTCCTATATACTTATATTACACCTAAACATTACACTGAACTTCATGGCTTCTCTTACAATTTTGGTCAGATGCTAACTGCATTTCGGTTAGACAACTCACGTGTTTCTTTAACATGTGTATTAGAAGCAGCATATAGTTGAGTTTGGTGTCTAGGCTCGGGCCTCATCACTCCACAGATATACATAGCACCATGAGTGATGATTAAATAACTAACCCCGAGCCTACAGGTGGAAGCTGGGGTGGAAGCTGGGCTGGAAGCTGGGGTGGTGGTGGGGCAGGCAAGCAGCAGCGACGTGGAAGTAGCTGCAGCAATAGCAGCAGCAAGCAATGCATGGAGAGATATCTGGCAGGTTAAATAGAGCGGCACATTAAGGAGACTCTGTTTGGTTGGTTGTAGAGTGGCAAGGGGCGTTATGTATGAATGCAGCATAAGTGCTCGAGTTGACTGCCTGAACTAGCTCGCTCCCATTTCGTTGTCACAGTAATAAAAATGAACTAGAATCTAATCTGACGAGGCACCAAAAGACGCTCCATGCTCCATGTAACTGCTTAAAACTTTGCTCGATACTTCAATATCCAAACCCTTTAATGTACAGAAGATGATTTGGCATCACGTCTGGATCCTGAAAAGATTCTTAATGTTCAGTTCAATTAAGTAATTCTTGAGAAGCTTTCTAAAGTTTACACATTTAATTGTTTGTATACACGGACTACTTCATATGTGTGTCTGTCTTTCTGTTCTGCCAGGTAGTTTCTACATTCAGTTGCAGCTCCAGGTGTTAGTCAGTGACCGATTGAAATGGAAATGACCGACAGACTGTATTTCACGCTTTCATTTTTACTCTTTTTTTAAATGTCATCTATGGCAAAGTATTCATAATAACCATCACTTTATCTCCAAACAATTGCACCTTGTATCAGCAGACTTAACTTCCTAAATCTGTGAAAATACTTAAATCAGCCCAGAATTTGGTGGATGTTTTTATGAAACCAACATTTTTACATTGAGTTGTATTTGTGTTGCCTTTTTGTGCATCACATAACTGAATAGGTTAAAACCAGTAATCCTTTAATCTGCGTTATTGGAACCGATGTTGGGTCAATGGATTATATTATGCATCACTGTTAGTCTGCATGTAATAGCTGTATAATAATAGCTAGAAATAAATAACACAATATGCATCCCTCCATTATTTCATCTCGGAAAATATCTTATCTGTTTTTAATAACTGTGACTCACTTAAAACTAAGTTTCCCCTTCTAATGAACACATGGTTTGAAGTCCGTCTTTTGATTTGCTGATAATGCCTGATGCAACAAATCCCAGCATTGCTATACATAGTCAGAAACCCCCTGCTCTACCCCCCCCCCCTGCAGCTCAGTTACGTCACCACGCTCTCCTCAAAATGACCCTCGTCTGCTGACTCAATGACGTGCAAAGCCTCTGACGTGCCACTTTTTTTCCGCCTTTAATCGCCGTGATTTAGGACTTCCCTGCTTGATTCTGCTATATCATGCCCACAAATCCCCCTCCTCCTCCTCCCCCTCCTCCTCCTCCTCCTCCTCCTCCTCCTCTGTCCCATCGACTGCCGGCTGAAACCACGGGTCAATGAGTGCATGAAGGACAGAAATTGATTCCCTGGACCATCTTTCCCCTCTCTTTGGTCAGCAGCAGAGATACTTGCACTATTTTATCTGTCTTATTGTGTTGCTCTGTTGGAGGAGCCTGTGACCTAAGATTTTCATTGTCATAACTACACTGTAGCTTTGCACACATGACAATAAAAGCCTTGAACCCTTGAATCCTTGAGAGGAAGGAGGGTTCAGCCTTCATTAGGGTTGCAAAATACCGGGAATTTTCAAAGATGGAAACTTTCCATGGGAATAAACTGGGAATCTTCAAAATGTAAGGTTGGCTCTTCATAGGGAACTTAAATATAGTTGGGGAAAGTATATTTTAGCATAATCTTGACTAAAACAAACAGATGCCATTCAAGTACACTTGAATATCCATGCCATAGCACACTGCTTACTGCATGGCTATTGAGACAAAGGTTCGAAACAGGCTCACAAATGTGAGAGTGGAAAAAGTGGTTGGCATTCGGGCAAACCTAAGGCTCTTTGAGCCTGACACAGAGCCATCCTCAACAAGGCTGGACAGTGACACTGAAGAGGAAGACTCAGAGTGTGATGTTGATGAGGCCCAGGAAGAGCCCGTTGACTGAAAGGGTTTAGCAAACATGCAGAGGATCGCTTGAAGGAAGATTTGCATGTTTAATGGAACTTTGTGGAGGGAGAGGGGCTCTTTTCATTTAACATGTCTAATGGAACTTTGTGGAGGGAGAGGGGCTCTTTTCATTTAACATGTTGAATGGGACTTTGTGGGGATCTTTGGATGGGGGTGCATTTTTGTTCATTTTTTAATGAGTGGGGTTGGGGGGGATGAGTAACATTTAACTCAACATTCCTGTTTTCGTTCTTCAATGAAACAAATAATTGTTCAATCAAATAATTAAAACTTGTTCTGTTCTACTTAAAAAAAAATCTGTTGAAATGTCGTGTTTTTTGTTTAATTTTTGCATCGAATATTTCCAAAATTCCCCAGCTTAACTTCCCATGGAAACTTTCCGGAAATTTACCGGAAATCTTCCACCCCTTTGCAACCCGAGCCTTCATTCACATTCACTCTGAGCAGAACGCACTGTCTGGTGTCATGGCTGCTTCAGGGTGACCTTCTCCACTGACCTTTGTTTGTGTGGTCCAATCAGTGTCACCAATGGGAGTCTGCTGACCACTCAAACACAATACAACCCCCCTCTTTGCTGCAATACTGCTATACGAGTAATTAACTGATGCTAAAGGCAAACAAGGTGCCATTTTAAGGTCGTTGAAATGATCATTGGTAAAGCAAAGGGACAGTACATTCCCTACAAGAAACACATTAATGAAATAAAAATCAAACAAGTACACATCCAAGGTAACAGATAGATAATAGCATTATTAAAGTAAGTGGACAAATTAAAGTAGTTTAGTAGCAACCAGTTGATAGAATAATATATGATCATGGCCACGTGAACATTTTTCAAATCTGACCAAATTACATCTTTGAAACATCCCAGCTGACACCTGTTTAGAAAATGACAGAACATGTGTTATAAATTATTAGGAAACACAATTAATCAGTTATAGTAGAAAACTCCAAATCATTTAACCGTACAGTAAAAAGGTTTACCTGATACCTTCATATAGTTTACGTTTTTTAATCAGTAACCAACTGGGAAGATTATTCAGAGTAGCTCCATCACTTATGATTCTTCTCCAAAAATGCAAATGTTTGGTAATTGTCTTTAAACCGTTACCTTGTGATAAAGATTAACAAAGTCTTTTTGGTAGCTTTGTATTATTTATTAATCAGGAAATCTTAAAAGAGATTTCAGTGAAGTTATAATCGTAAAGAAAATATAGAAAGTAACCTCAGGAAAAACAGTCGGATCACACGAATAATAAAGGTTTATCCTCTTAAACGTGAATTTGTTCAGAAGTTTCAGTACATTTGACATATACTTTTTAATATTTTTGTATTTTTGTGGTATAATGAATTGATTTATCTAATGGTGACGCTAAAGAGAGTTAAAGGGGGTCACCAAAATCATAAGGAATCGTTCATTCATGGAAATCAGGCCAATCGTTTTTGGGATGTTAGGTCTGAGCTGAAGTGACATTTTGGCTTGACAGTGTTTCAAAGAAAAGGTCACAGGGTGTCAGGACCTCGACACAAACTGATGAACCCAAAATGCACGACCCAGAGACAAAGGGTGTTTCTCAATCGCGAGTAAAGCTCAAGCATACTACGTCATCGAGTGCCGCCGAGATGTAAGGCGGGGCCTCTCATATGACGCACACCTGCACACTTGCTAGCCTGTTCCACTCTTTGTTTTCCGAATGGCAGGAAGTATTCTTGCCTCGCTTCTGAAGCAAGATGCTCGGCAGACATGTGCTACCAAGCAAGCGTACTCGCGATTGAGAAACACCCAGTGTTTCAAAGAAAAGGTCAAAGGGTGTCAGGACCTCGACACAACCTGATGAACCCAAATGCGCGACCCAGAGACAAAGTCTTGAATGTAATAAAAAAAAAATTATTTATTTTCACAGTTCAGGTAT